GAAAGAAAAAATAATTCATACGTGTGCTGTTGGCATGAAAAGTTCTTCCAATATCATAAAAATGATATCATAAAAATGACTTCCTGGTTGTACATATGATGTTGCTTATAGCTCACAGTACTCCTCTAACACAGCCTTACACTGTGTTATGGATAATACCATAGTTTTGAGGGATAAGCAACATTCTCTTTTTTAGAAATTGAACTTACTGTCCTTTATTTGTCAGAAATTTCATTAAATTGAAATGCAATTTCAGAACTGAAAACCACAAAGAAATGTCTCCAGAATAAGAAAAAAGGCAAATAAAATATATTTTAAGGCTTCAGAGTCCTAGCTAAATTTGCCACTGTATCCTTTCTTCCTTAAAACAAACAGGGACCTCAAATTTAGCATGTTGCATTATCACCATTCCTAGCAGCAAAACAAAACTTACAAATATTTAAGAAAGTAATGTAATCTAAAATATAACAATGAAAATTCAACCTAGAGAGGTGGGATGGGGAGGCAGATGGGAGGGAGGTTCAAAAGGGAAGGGATATATGTTTACCTATGGTTGACTCATGTTGAGATTTGACAGAAAACAACAAAATTCTGTAAAGCAATTACCCTTCAATTAAAAAATAAATATTTAAAAATCATTTGAAAAATATTGCTCTTTGACAATATAATTCTTCCACAGCCTGAGAAATATCAGAAAAATCTAAATCTACTGATCATCAGGCAGTCAGAAACTCTAGAAATTGAGAGACACTATAAAAAAGGAACAAGGCAAGATTTTGCCCAGATGGACCTGTGCTAGCAGACTGCACATATAACCTGCGATTCCTAGGAACACGCAGTCAGGTTCCTGGGTAGCCAAGGCCAGCCAGGGGTGACCTTGGAGTCACATGGGCCTGGGTTTTAATCACAGACTCACTGTTTATTAATGGTACGATCTTGGGGAAGTTGCAAAACTTCTCTGAGCCCATTTCTTCATCCACAAAATAGAAAGACTAATCTTTCCTTCATGGGGGTGTTGTAAGAAGTACATGACATGACATGTGTGAAAAGGACCTAGAATGAAGTGTTCTTAACACACACACACACACACACACACACACACATCAGGGTGAGAGGAAACTTTTGGAGGTGGTATGATAGATATGTTTTATGGCATTGATTAGCTGATGGTTTCACAGGTACATACTTATATCCAAATTTATCAAATTGTATACATTAAACATGTACAGCTTAAAAAATTTTTTTTAATTTTGTATTGGAGTATAAGCAGTTAACAAATGCAACCCACTCCAGTATTCTTGCCTGGAGAATATCATGGACAGAGGAGCCTGGTGGGCTACTATCCACAGGGTCACAAAGTGTCAGACACAACCAAAGTGACTTAGTATAGGCGGTTAACAATGTGATAGTTTCAGGTGACCAGGGAAGGCGCTCAGCCATACATACACATGTATCTATTTTCCCCTGAACCCCCCTCCCATCCAGGCTGCTACATAACATTGAGCAGAGTTCCATGTGCTATATAATGGGTCCTTGTTGGTTATCCAATTTTAAAATAGTAATGTGTAACATATACAGCTTTTTATATGTCAATTATACCTCAATAGTGGTTTAAAAAAACCCCGATAACCCTAAATAGTAATAGTGACAGAACAGACTTTTGGTAATGGTTTGGTCTCATCCTTTCCCCCACCTTAATTTCTTTGCCTTTAAGAAACTAAGATATAGAGGAAATTGACTCCCTCATTGAATTAAACAATTAGTGTCTACCAGGCGTACTATGTACAGGTATACAGGTTGTTCCCTGCTAAGGTGAGGAGGGTGAATTCCAGTCCATTAGCACTCATCAAGCTGGGCGCCGGGGCCTCTCTTTCTAATTTGCAAAAAGGTGCTACATGTGTGTGTAAAGCTCCAGCATCTGATTCAGAGATAACGAATTTGAACTATGCCCACTTTGTGACTGATGGGAAATGGACAAGCAATCAAGGGTTACAATACCTATAATTAATGCTACTACAGGGAAGGTACTACAGGAACACAGAAAAGAGACACTTAAATGAGATGGCATGAAGAATGGAGTATTCAGAATCTGTGACTTAAAGGATGGTGGCAGGGGGCACAGATTGTGGAGAATGTTCCAGGCAGAGCAGTGAAATTGAATTATTTATCCATTTATTCATTCAGTAAACACAAATTGAATAGCTACCAAGTTCCAGTACTGAACTTGAAGAAAAAAACAGTAAATAGTAAAAGAAAAACTCCTTACTCAAAATCCTAACATTCTGGTAGGGCAGAAGGATGACGGTAATTGAACTAGAAAAATACTTGGTAGTGGAGATGTGCTTTAGGAGAATAACACAGGCCAGGCAGGGGTGGTGGGTTGGGTTGGGTTGGTGCCCCTTCCACACGAGAGTGGAGAGCGGCAGGCATAGTCAGGGAGGCATCACTTTAAGCTGAGGTTTAAATGGCAATCGTAGGAAGCTCATGAGATAATCGTATCAGGCAGAGGGAGAAGAGAAGCTGTTACAAGTCTTGAACAAGTTGCTCAGTTGTGTCTGACTCTTTGTGACCCCATGGACTATAGCTCACCAGGCTCCTCTGTCCATGGAATTCTCTAGGCAAGAATACTGGAGTGGGTAGCCATTCCCTTCTCTAGGGGATCTTCCCAGCCCAGGGATCAAACTGGGTCTCCTGCATTGCAGGCAGATTCTTTACCATCCGAGGCACCAGGGAAGCCTGTTACAAGTCTTAAGGGGGGATGAACTCTGTTTTTAGTTGGCAAAGAAGACACTTGAGGTGTGTCTGAAGTGGCACGGGAGAGAAGAGGCTCAGGAGATGAGACAGAGAGGTAGGCCAGTACCAGACCTGTGTGAGCATGGTGACCTCACAGACCTGCAAGGCGTCCCATATGGAGGGAAAGCTCTGTGTTATTAGGGGAGGACAAGTGAGTTGGGGGAAACAGGCAGGAACCAGATGATGACAAGTCTTACATGGAGAATCTGGGAGCCATTTATTTCTGCTTAAGGTTATGCAAAGAATTCCAAGGAAGCCATGACTAAAGTAAGTCAAAGAAATCCTTTCATGTTTGTCTTCAATACCAAGACTTGAATACCGAGTCTTATTTGTATTCCTTGTTCCTGAACCCAAATCCTCAATGTATAGACCCCATGAAAGGTTAGAACCCTTCTCAAGTGTGACCACACATTCAGATTAATGTAAAATTTATTTTTGAAACATGATGGTGACAATTGTTAGGAGAAATGTTAAACTGGGCAGGTTGTGTTTTTTAGGAAGATATATCTTCTTCTGATTTCAAGAAGTAAGAAGAAATACATAAGGTCAAGTTGGTAACAAGTAATGTTTACTTATTAGACTATTTCCTGTCTTATATTCGTGATCTTCATTCTCATCAACAAAATCTCAGATTTGATTATCAATGAGCTTAACTAAAACTCTTGTCTTCTAGACTCCTGTGTGACTTGGAGTCATATTTGACTAAAATGTAATTGTTGAGATATAGGCTGAAGTCCCTGCAGAGGCAGAGTCTGGCTGGGAGAAAGCCTTTTTGTTCTGTTCCCCTTTCTTCCTGGTATTTGTATTTATTTTGTGACTTCTTGATATGGCTTGGAGTCTTATAATTTTTTCAAATATGTTGCAAAACCATACACTGAGTTAAGGACCACAGCTTTATAAGGTCTATGGGTACATTTTTCAGGTACTTGTACTGATTTGGAACTAACTGTGGATGTAAAAAGATAGTAAGATGATTTTATCAAAAATACCTCGTAGGGTTCATTATGCTGAAAGTGACGTTCCATGTATGTAATGTTTCTGCTGTTTCTTGACTCAGAAAAATCTAGTCAACAAGTATTTCTCAAACATTCATTTAACACATAGTATCTGTAATTACAAAGATGGCATGAGACAGAGATGATGAAAACAAGGTTCTCATTTTTAGCGAGTTAATTTCATGAGATGACAGATGTGTTTACAAATAAATGTAAAACAAGTATGTATATGATGTGGTAGGCCATGACTAGGCTTGCCCAAGAAAAGCCTCTAAGTGGATGTGAATGAATGCAGATGAAAGGGGTGTGCCCCAAATGCAGGCAAAGCACAAGCTTCAAGGCTTGGAACTGGTACATGAAACCTGGGTGATCTGGCTCAAAGAGTAGCAAAATCATTGCCTTATGAATAGTATGAGTTGTTTCTGAAGGATGAAGTTATGGGGTTATGGAAGGTATAGTTCTATGATCCTCCAGTCTGGCCTACTCAATGTGGGCCAACGCCGCTGGGCTTCAGATGCACAGTCATCAGTAGGAGCTGTGTCCACCAACTTGCATCCTTATCAGGTTTACTTGCTGCTTCAGGATTAAACAAAGTAAAAGCAACCCTGAAGTGTTGCCCTTTGAATAGGATGTGTGGCCTCTGGGGATGTAATAAGTGTCATGGGTGCATTGCAGACAGTTTTAAAGAGTTTTAAGAGCTGTGAGGAAAAAGAAACATTTCTGGTTGGAGGCTTCATGAAGGAAGTAGAATTTTTTTCCTTTTTAAATTTTATTGAAATATAGTTGATTTATAATATTGCATTAATTTCTGCTGTATAGCAAAGTGATTCAGTTTTACATATATATATACTTTTTCATATTCTTTTCCATTATGACTTATCATAGGATATTGAATATAGTTCCCTGAGCTATACAGCCAGACCTTCTTGTTTATCCACTCTTTTTTTTTTTTTAAAATTTTACTTTGTATTGGAGTACAGTTGATTTACAATATTGTTAGTTTCAGGTGTATAGCAAAGTGATTCAGTTATACATATACATATATCTATTCTTTTTCAGAGTATTGAGTAGAGTTATTACAGAGTTTTGAGTAGAGTTCCCTGTGCTATACAATCAGTCCTTGTTGACTATTTTATATATAATATTGGCTATATGTTAATCCCAAACTCCTAATTTATCCACCGTCTACCTTTCCCCTTTGGTAATCGTAACTTTATTTTCTAAGTCTGTGAGTCTGTTTCTGGTTTGTAAATAGGTTCATTTGTATTGTATTTTAGATTTCACATAGAAGTGGTATCATGTCTTTCTCTAACAGAAGGAAGTAGAATTTGAGCTAAATCTTGAAAGATGAATACCATTCTAAGGTGAAGGTGGGTGGAAGAACATTACAAGAACACTGGACAATGAATGATAAAATGGAGGTAGGAGAGCAGAGCTGTTAGGAGCAGGTTAGTGTGGCTGAAGTACAGGGCATGTACCAGGAAGCAGTGAAATGTGGGCTGCAGAGGGAGTCCAGACCAGGGGAAAAGGACTGGCATTTAACATATTGGTAATGGGAACCAAAAATGTTTTTGAGCAACTACTAAACCATGTGAATTAGTAAAATAGGGGAGATATCAATAAATTTGGCAACATTATCATGCATGAGATAGCATAATGTCAATGAAATGACTGGCAAGATCCTTTAAAATGCCCAGGCACCAACTGAGGTCATGTGTGATTGGAAAAGAGCTTATGAATTCAGGAGTTTTATGGAAAAACTAATTGTTTTAGGGAAACCAGGTTTCGATTTGGGCATATTGGAGGATAGCAGTAATTGTGAACACACAAAAGGACGACAGGGAGAGGGAAACGCAGTATTCGAGAAGCTGGATTGAATGCATATGGAACATTCAGGTGGAAATGTGCTATATGCCATTCAAAAGAAAATAAGAGAAGCAGCTCCGGAGAGAGGTGGAGTGGGGGATGAGTCACCTACATTGAAGTGAGTCAGTGAGTTCGCTCTGTCATAAGCATAATATATGAACTCAATAACAGGTTCTAAATATGTAGCAAATATAACAAGGAAGACAGATCTTAGACTCACCTTGGAAAATAAAACAAAAAACGCTGAGATTATTGGTATTTATAGCTCATGTTTGTTTTACCAGCTGTTAAATTCCCCAAACCCAATACTTATCCCAGACTGACCTCCTAACTGGCAGGAAGAATTTGTCAAAGGACACATTCTTTCATAGAAATCTGAGTCGCCAGATCTTTCTAGTTTAGAACAGGAGAAATACAGGAACTACACGACTAAGTAGATTGTCAATGTGCCTTGTGCTCAGTGGTGTCCGACTCTTTGTGACCCCATGGGCTGTAACCTGCCAGGCTCCTCTCTCGATCGGATTTTCCAGGCAAGAATACTGGAGTTGGTCACCATTTCCTTCTCCAAGGGATCTTCCCCACCTAGGGATCAAACCCGCGTCTCCTCTGCCTTCTGCGTTGCAGGCGGATTCCTTACCCGCTGAGCCATCCGGGAAGCCCAAGCAGATTAAAGCACATCTTTTTGAAGGTGAGGGGGGCCACATAGCCCTGAACCACAATTCAGTTATAGATACTGATGATCGCTAAACGAATTCAACTACTAAAACCACGGAAACGTTCCCAAAGACGGGTTTCTGTGCCAGGGCAGAGGCCGCAAGCAAGGGAAAGGTTAAAGAGAAGAACGCGAGTCTCTGGAGACAGACCAGCGACGCGGATTGCGTAGGTCCCAGTTGGAAGCTGGCTGTCGTCATGTGGCATACCCGCGGCATTGCTCATCGCCGGCGGCCACCTCCGTCAATTCCAAGGCTGGGCCGCCAGCAGGCAGTGGAAGGGTCACGAGAAAGGAAGCATGTGCGCAGAAAAGCCAGTTGAGAGGAGCTGGGAGGCGGCTCCACGGGGCCGACTACATGTCCCATAATTCAGCACAGCAACGAAGACCGGCTCCCCGGGCGCCGCTGGAAGACTTGCGGCATGGGATCTGTGGTGAGCGTCCTTCGCCCGCCCGAAGTCGGCCTTTGGTGGGGAGATATATGGGGATTGGCTAGTGAGAGTTCGAGTCCCGCCCACGGATGGTGACGACAAGCGGCGGTCCTGCTACTTAAGGCGTCGTGGCCTCGACCGCCCCGCCTTAGCTCCCGCGCTAGAGAGAAACATGTATCGTTTCCGATCACAGCTCTTCACGGGGATTTCAGCTGCCGCCATCGCCCACTCTTACCCGCGCCGCTTCTCGCCTCTGTTGTTAGCCGAAGACTCGCCTCTCAGCCGCCCGTCGCACAGACGCACGAGTAAAAAGTGCAGCTCCATCGGCTGATCCTCGCTAAGCTAGAGTTTAGGCGGCACCGGGCGTCCCACGATGCCGAAGAATAAGAAGCGGAACACTGCCCACCGCGGTGGCAGTGGTGGCGGCGGCTCAGGGGCAGCTGCAGCGACGGCGGCGACAGCAGGTAAGAAAGTATCCCAGTCGCCGGCATTCCAGATACCGGCCGGGTTGGCGAGTCGCTTAGCCTTGGGCACCCTGGGAGTTGTAGTTCTATTCCTCTAGACGTATGCGTTGGCGGGGCGCTTGGCGTGGCCGGCGGACTACGCTTCCCAGCATGCCTTGGGGGCCGAACCTCGCGCGATTTGGATCTGGCGTGCGAACCGAACTCTTGGGCACCGGCCGCGGGGCAGGGAGAGGGGCAGATGGGTTCTTGCGTCTGAGAATGGGTCTGGGTTGGGGGTGACTGGGAGCTGTGCGGGAGAGGAAGTGTTTTCAGAGACTGGTACTGGCTCTGTAGAGCTCTTCTTGACAGAGGGTGGTGCCGAGTTCGGAGTCCTGTGCATGCTGTCACTGGTCGTCTTTGACCACTCTGCTCCAACATGGAGTTCTCGGGAATGCCAAATGTCCGGCGGGTTTGGACCGGCTCTTGCGTCACGCGGCCTGGGCCTTGCGCCGTGGGGCCGGGGTGACGCAGAGGAGCCCATGTGGCATCCCATTCGGCTGCCTTCCTGCGCATCCCGCGTGTGCACCTGGCCCGGCCGAGCCGCCAGAGGCTGGGGTCCACTGTCCCAGCGTAGACTCTGCTCCTACCTTTATTTGGCACCCGCACAAATCCCGAGTCTCCAGCTCTGGTGCGACCCGTCGAAGCCAGCTCCTACTCCCGGGGGCAGAAACTGCGTTCTCCTTTGTGCTATATTTTGTAGGTTCTCCGCTGGGAGCCCGGAATAGGCGGGAGTGGTGAGGAGCTCAGATTGCAGTTGGCCAAAAGTTTAGGTGTTTTTTTTGATTCCTCTTTGCAGAGTTGAAACTTTTCCTGGATGGCTAGGTGCTTAACTGAATTAATGATTTTTTAGTCCTAACTATACGACTAAGAAAAAATGACCTCAAGCAGAAACTCCAACGAGACACACCATACTGAAAGCTAGTGTTAAACCTGGTAAAGTCATCTCACTTAATGATTGCTTTATTGAAACTTTGAAATTAAGTATTAAAATAACCTCAGATGTTATCACATCGAATCTATTAGCCATATATATTTGTGAACACAGTTGCCACTTTAACCCTCAGATTGATAAGCCTTTGTTCTTTAGCAAATAGGCCAGTTTTTTTTTTTTTAAAGAATTGGAAACTGATATTTAAAAAGCAAGACGAAAACTTGTGATCATGTATTATTTAATAATTGACAGTAGAAATGAATTATTATAGATGCAGTTCCCCCCTTTTAATATCTTTATTTTGATTGAATGCTTGCTTTCGGTGTTCATGAGGTTCATTCTTGATCAAAATATAAAATACATCTAGTTGCTCTGTGTGAATTGATACCTCTTTATCTTTCTGCTTCGTCTTCTCGTCAGAAGTAAACATTTAAATTCTGTCCAGAAGGTCCTTATTAATTTTAATTCTTCAAGTTTACCTTTTGTTGAAACAAACAGATGGAGCAAGCTAAAGTCATGTTGAAAATGGTAATGGCCTCCTTGATTGGCTAAGGAACATTTATTCCCCTCTGAAGCTTCCTGTCCAGCCTCCTTCCTTCCTGGTACTTAGAGAATAATCTCAGGAGGCAGTGGGGGGTTGCCTTGCAAATTTTACTTCGAGGTTCTCATTTGTGACTTTTCAGCAGCAGGAAAACAATTCTTTGATAGTTTATAAAACTATACATGCTTTGACTATCTTTGGACGTTTACACTAGAACTTGTTAGCTGTGCTTGCCTCTGATTGGGGCTTGGGGGTGAGATTTACTTTTTGAAAAGGTTAAATTGGTTCCACCTGAATATTACTTACTCAAATAAATAATAGTTGAGTAGAAGAGATGGAAAGTTTTCACAAACTTGTACTTAAAAGTCTCTTACCTTACTGATATTTTTAAATGCCATCTATAGAAGAAATAGGATTCATATGAAATCTTCACATGTACAACCAAGAAATAACCAACTTCTCTATCGTTTTGGGTTTTCCATTTAAATACTTTTAAATAAAGTTAGTGGAGGGGGTCCAGGAAGCTAATAAAATTGACCTGTTGTTCAAGTGTGTGTGTGTTTTTCATAGAACTTATTTTGAAGAGAGCATTTTTAGGAAAGAACAAAGCCTTGTTAGTAAGTAAGCCCTTTAAGAAATAAGGACTTAATGTGTCTAAAGGGCCACCTCATTAATGGTACTTAGGATCACAAGGTGGGTGAGTGTGACCTAGATATTAGACACTCATACAGAGTTTTTTCCCCTCAATTTTTTTTTTTTCAAATGATCTCTTTCCCTTTGAGCTTTGGGAGATCATTGAAACTTAGAGAAGGGAGCTGAGTAACACCTGGATACGACACTCTTTTTGACAGTTTAAAAATAGGCTGAATGTGAAAAATAAAACATGATTTGTGAATAAATATTAGTAAAAATTAAGCTGATGACTCAACTATTGCCATGACTTCAGATCATGAAAACAAATGAAGACAGATCCAAAAATAGAATATGATGTCATAGGTCTTTGTTTGTTTGTTTATTCTTTCCTAAGCACTATGATTAGGAAGTTTTGGTGTCTTGGCTTCATTGCTTATTCTTTATACTTCACTACTTTGATTGGCACACTTTATTCTCTTTTGGATAGCAAGCAGATTTGAAGGCCACTTGCTTCCTGTGTTGATTTAAAAATCTGCTAAAGCCTCATCTCTGTTTTGATTTTTTAAAGCTATAAAAAAAGACAGCAACAGGCTTAATTATACACAGAGAATTTTTGAGAAGCCTTTCTTAAGATTTATTAAATGATACAGATTTCTTGAACATAGGGACCTAAGAGATGTCTAGTGCAATCTTTGATTGGAACTCAGAGTTAAATCAGGTGACTCATGGTCACTTTTGGGGCGGAATTGGGGACTTCTTTTAACTCAGTGCTCATTGTAATTGATGACTGAATAATCTTTCTACTAATAAGAAGTTCCCACAAAAATAATTAGAAGTGACAGTGACTAGGAGTATAGATTTATTCCTTAGATTAATGAAATTGAGAGGAAGATTCTAGTTTAAAAAAAGATTTTAATTTTTTAATAATAGCACTGATATTTTAAAACTTCTGTGTATATTAGAACCTTTCTTTTGAACGTGATTTGTCTAACAGGCTTTTTATGCTATATAAAATACCAGAACATCTTTTTAAAGTCTTAAAATTCAACTCTTAGTTGACCAAAAATCCTCAGACAAACTGAAAGAGCTCTGTCTGTCTTCCCAAGGGAGTGACAGGAATGTTAACACTTGACTAGGAACAAATGTAAACGTGTACAGCCATCACAGTAGGAAAGTCATCATCCAGCTTAGTCACTAGTCACTACAGTGAAGTAGGTTTTTAAAATACTGTAGTCATTTCTGAAATTGGCATGTGAAAAAAGTCAAGTCTTGAGCATTGCTCAAGGTCTTCAAAGCAGATTCCCAATTTTAAGCACACCATGCTTGCAATCTTTATCAGCTTGCATCTTGCCTATAATTCTTTACTTGCAAACATGAGACAACTCTGTTAAGAGGACTCTGAGTAGATGCTTTCTCCAGTGGACTTGGCCCTGTGAAGTCCACCGTAGAGTGCTGGTAAGAGGAAGCAGGGCCTCTGTGCGGTGCTTGAGGACCATTTCATAGTCCTGCCTCTTAAGTGATTTGTATGCATGCTCCTTCGCCAGACTTCTCAGCTCTTCTGTCTTCCATGACTTGGGAACAAAAATCCTGCAGTTCACTGCACTGGTATCATGTAGAAAGTCCATCAGAGCTCTTTGTATTTTCTTACACATCTTACCAACGCTAGTTCTTTCATGATCAGTCACTTCATCCATTTGCTGTCGTCATTTTCTGTGCCATGTTGGATCCACTTATCAGCATCTAAAACTTCTATCTTAAACGTTTTTGATCCTCTCAATTCAAATTGTCTTACTTAAAACTACCATCCCACAACTCCTCAAATTTCCCTTTGTATAAGACATGTGTAACCTAAAAACTAACCTATTCACCAGTTAATGTTATTCTCATTGGAAAATGCATTTTTCTTATTTTTATGTTGATCTATTTTTATTGTCTTAATGATTTGAAGTAATTGGGAAGTAGTTTTTTTATCCATAATACTGGTTTTGTTTGACCAAAAATGGTCACATACTAGATGATTGATATATTTCTGCAGTTGATATATATTGTAAATAGCTTTTGCTCTGAAATACATAGTAGGTGAATTGACTTATATTAGGAATATTTAAGTGAGTTCTTTTGTTAAAAAAAAATTATCTCTTAAGTAAGTTTGGGTTTTTATTACTGGCTTTAAGTAAGTTTTAAAAGTCCCAAGTTAAGTGTTTGCATACATGACAACAAAATCATTTACCTCCACCCTCTCTTACCTACTAGGTGGCCAGCATCGAAATGTTCAACCTTTCAGTGATGAGGATGCATCGATTGAAACAATGAGCCACTGCAGTGGTTACAGCGATCCTTCCAGTTTTGCTGAGGATGGTATGAGTTTTCAGTCTAGATTTTCGACATTAGATAAAAGGATGTTAAGGTCAAGGAATTCTTGTAGCTAAGTATTCTATTACTTTTCCCTATCTGCTTTTTTCTGTTTAAATCATAGTGGTTGGTTTTATTATTCCGTAGGGCCAGAAGTCCTTGATGAGGAAGGAACTCAAGAAGACTTAGAGTATAAGTTGAAGGGATTCATTGACCTGACCCTGGATAAGAGGTGGGAATTACTGGAAGCTCTTTTCATTCTGGTTGATTTTGATCGGCTGCCTTTTATATAAAATATGTGCACTTATTTCTTTGAGCATTATGTTTTCCTAAAGCTTGATTTGTTTACTTTGGATATTTTAGTTTTTTGCGCCTTTGGACTTTTAATGTAGATAGGAACATGCCACTAGAATTTAGATTAATAGACTCAGATTAGTAGTTGTTCTAGAATAAGAGCACATATTTGTGTTTGATAATTGAAGTGTATTTGTTGAATTAAAAGTTAATCTTCAACTAGGAAGGATAGCTATTGAAAAATACTAAAGCCAAATTGTTTTCTTACTTAACAGTAACTCTAGAACCAAATTAAAACAAATGGAATTTAAAACCCCAGAAGATGCAAACAAGAACTCTGGACTTTTGTTCTGTTAAAAAAAAAAAAGAAATACGTGTTTACTTGAATATGTAATGTAGAAGAACATGCCTTATACACTGAAACTATGAAATACTATGTGGCCATTTAATGTTGTGGTTATTAAATGAATAAGCAGAAAAATGCTATGATACGTAGTAGGGTGAGTTGTAGATGAAAATGAAATTATCATTTGAAAAGTGGTGTGAACATGAAAATTATATGTTAAAAAATCTATAAATAGAAAAAATTGAGAGGAAACTAGGCTTTTACAAGTATCATTGACTGATGGTACACTCCAGCTGTATCTTCTTTCTCTTATATTTTGTTTTAAATAGTGCGAAAACAAGGCAGGCAGCCCTTGAAGGTATTAAAAATGCATTGGCTTCAAAGATGCTTTATGAATTTATTCTGGAAAGAAGAATGACTTTAACTGATAGCATTGAGCGCTGCCTGAAAAAAGGTAATGTCCTTACTTTAGAGCCACAGTTACAGAACCTAAAAGGAATTTGCTACCTTCTGTGCAGTAACATTTGTTAATAGCACTAAAAGTCTGGCTCACTCTTGTAACCTTGTACTTGACAGGGAATATATCAGTCTTGTTAACAAAATGAAACTTGTTAGCTTTTGAAACTGTAATTTCAAAATGTAAAAACGTAGTAAGCATTTGAAACTAGGAAAGACTGGGGTGGATTGTCAACTTCAGTTGTATTAAAAGAGGTGTTTGCCATTCTCTTGTACATGACAAAGGCTTGAAAACTTGTGTCAGATGTCAACAAAAAGTATTACTTAAAAAGCCGTCCTACTTCATTTTTCTAAAATTAAAACAGTATCATAATTATCTACCTCATTTTCTTATTTAAAACATTGATCATACTTTCAATGACATCATTTCAGAATACCCCTTGGAATATTTGAATTCTTGAACTTTGTCATAGAGATTCTAGAATTCATATTAGGATCTTCTATGATTAAAGAACTTTTAAGAATAAAGAGAGACCTTAAGGATTAAGTCTAGTATTATCAAAGACTTTCAATTTTAGAAAATGCCAGAATTCAAAAGGTTTGGGGATACCAGCTTAATTATTTTGCCAAGTAAGAACATTTGTCTTTATTCTCATTTTCCCTCAGGTGAAAGCTTTGTCAAGAATGGGTGTTTGGAAACCTTTGGTCTAATCCACCTCTCACTGTGCAGAGAAATGAAAGGCCTAGGAAATGCGAGACTGGTCTAAAGTTATATAACTTGTTATTGCTATAGTTGATAGCAGAGCCAACTTCTTTGAGATGCTACAATGGCTGTGTCAAAAGTATTTACATTGAAACTGTATCCTATAAGGTAGTTGGATTAGACCTTTTAAAATTTCGTTACAACCTGCATAGACATTTAATTTATCAGATAATAACTTAAATTCAAAATTTGTGCAGACCCTTGATGTATACAGTTCTCAGGAGAGTTAGTTTACACTTACCTGTATATTAACATGTTTCCCTGGGGGCTCAGACCATAAAGAATCTGCCTGCTGTGCAGAAGACCCAGGTTTGATCCCTGGGTCAGGAAGATCCCCTGGAGAAGGGAATGGCAACCCCCTCCAGTGTTCTTGCTAGGAAATCCTGTGGATGGAGGAGCCTGGTAGGTACACTCCATTGGGGTGCAAAGAGTCAGACACAACTGAGTGGCTTCACTCACTCACTCACTTACATTAATGTATTTGTATAGTTTTAAAGGCTCTGTTATTTATAGTTGGCTGTGCCATGTAGCTTACAGGACTTTAGTTCCCTAATGAAAGATTGAATGAAAAAAGCCCTCTACAGTGAGAATGTGGAGTCCTGGCCACTGTACCACCAGGGAATTCCTGAGAATACCTGTTTTTAACCCCTTGCTTATTTTAAACAATATTGGTGGAGGAGAGCCCTGAAGGTTTAGTTTACCTCATGGGCTGTGTACGTCTGAAATGCTTGACAAGTTATTTCAAGAGCTCTTTGTGCACTATTCTGTGAGTTCATGAAGGATTTAGAAAGTCAGGTTAGCTTGAAATGCATTATTTTGCTGACCTGTTACAGTACTCTTCTTTAAAATAGGTGTTAATTTCCATTTTACAGATGAGCACCTGTTTTGAGAATAAGAGTAATTGGTTGAAGGTCATTTGGCAGTATGTGATAGATCTAGGATTCGAGTGTGGCCTGCTTCCAGAGTTTGAGATCTTTAACCTCACTAGATTTATAGGTCATGCCAAAGCATTGAGCATACTTTGGGTTTCATAATTGGTAGATGCTATTTTGAAATAGAACAAATTTGGGAAATTGCTGCCTTAAGAAGTCTACTGAAAATGATTTGTCATAATTGCTGGTGACTTCTTTTATAGGTAAAGGTGATGAGCAGCGTGCAGCTGCAGCATTAGCGTCTGTTCTTTGTATTCAGTTGGGCCCTGGAATTGAAAGTGAAGAGGTTTTAAAGACTCTTGGACCAATCCTGAAGAAAATAATTTGTGATGGAACAGCTAGTATCCAGGCCAGGCAAACTGTAAGTATAGAATTTTTAATTATAGCTCTATCTAGGCATGATACTCAGACCTTGTGATGATCTAGGAAAATAGCATCTTCAAAAATATAGAAGGTTTTTATTATCATTTTATTCTCATTTGTTTTTTAGTGAGCAGATTCAATATGACAATTCTTTTCTTAAATTTTCTGATGCTCAATAGAACATCCCTTATAGAGCAGATTTCTACATTTTGAAATTGAAGATCATGTGCTTATAGGAAGTACAGTGCAATGTTGATTTAGGATTACCCACTTTTTATTGGAGCTTAAACAAGTGGTCTAGACAATGTTTATTGTGTAGTTATTTTTTTAATTCTAAGAAATGTAATGGAGTGGTGGTGGTGTTTTAATTCTGACCTAGAAGTCCTTATGAAAGAGCTGAGTGCTGTAGTTACATGGGTGGATTTGGTTGATGTAGGGAACTCTGACTTTTGAATTATTCATCTGATTTGGGGGGTTTGGAAAAGCTTTCATTTTCTAATTGATATTTACCACTTATATACATAAGATTGTGAATTTTGGTGGAGGAGTTGGTTGTTGGTTTCTGTTAGGCTAAATAAGTGATTTAAATGATCACACAAAACATCTTTTGCTTTATCACAGAGACATAAGGCAGTCTTAGTGGATTTAGGAAGTGGATTTTAATCTTAATGGATGTTAAGAATCTTAAGAGCCTTAATAGATCATAAGAATTTATTGTTAGTGAATTTGAATCTTAAGCTGTTTTTCTAGCAAGAGAGCCAGTTTGTTTAAAACTTTAATACTAATTATTGGCCTCCTCTTTAGTGTTACTTAAGGTAAATGATGGGCTCTCCCAGCGGCTCAGTGGTAAAGAATGCACCTGTAGTCCAGGAGCCGCAGGAGACTTGGGTTCTTCCCTGGGTTGGGAAGACCCCCTGGAGGAGGGCATGGCAGCCCACTCCGGTATCCTTGCCTAGAGACTCCCATGGACAGAGGAGCCTGGTGGGCTACACCCCACAGCATTGCAAAGAGTCAGACACAACTGAAGCAACCTAGCATGCACACACACAAGGTAAATGACGTGACTCTTTCTATCAGGTAAACCCTGAAGTCTTAATGGCTTAGTAAAAGCTTATTCTTGTACATATCAGTGCCCAGTCAGGCCAGCAAGGCCCCTTGGCATATCCGTCTTGCAACTCTGCCCTGCCTCTAGGTTCTTTTCAAATGGCAGCTGTGGTAGTGAGATGAGGAAGGCTGGAGGACAGAGGCAGGTCACTTCTGCTGAGAGTTCCTTGGTTTACCAACTGTATAGGTGCTGGGAGGAATCTATCGGAAAAGGAGTAGGAGTTTGGTAACTTTATAGGAATCTCTGCTCCCCAGTAGTTAGTAATCTCTTTACCTTTCTGTTTTTCCTTTTTGGCTAGTTTCTTGCAGCTTTAAAATTGCTCGGGAGTATGAGGGGTATTTGAAATGTTTTGACAGAAAACACTGTTGATGGTATTTGGGGTGATCACTTTGTTTTGGTTGCACGTGAGTTGTGGTTGTCCAAGGCACTTTCTTCATCCTTCTCACTCTTTCTGTGAGTTATTAAAAAAGCAAAATTCTGGCATTCTTCTGCATATTAGTAGAAGGAATCTTTATTAAATGAAGGCAGTCCTACTTTTTAATCTGCCGTTTCTCTTAGGAGATGTGTTCTGGCTTCTGCTGCTTACGTAGGAGAGGATTACATACTGAAATCTTCTTTTACTGAGAATAATGCTTCAGCTGCTTTGGAATTTTAACAGTGTCTAATTTTTACGATAACCTAATGAGAATAAAATAGTGGCAGCAAACTGATTAATATTACAGGTGTCCTCATAGTACTGGAGCAGAACTCGCTAAAATTGGGGGCGTGTGAATGATGCCTTTAAAGACTTACACCTTAGTGGTACTTGGAACAACATGAGGGCATTTTAGTGATAACGTATGGAGAAAAGGGAAATGAAGAGTAATAAAACCTTATAAATTTCAAATTCTGCTTTTATATAATTAGCACAAGTGTTCTGAGACTTAATGGCTCCTATAATGTTGGAAGTAGATTATATATAAATACACTGAATCTGTTTTTCCTTGGTAATCTTGGATGTCTTGTTCACTTGCTCAGTTGTTTCCAGCTCTTTGTGACCCCATGGACTGCAGCACGCCGGGTTTCCCTTCACTGCCTCCCAGAGTTTGCTCAGATCGATGTCCATTGAGTCAGTGATGTTATCTAACCATCTCATCCTCTACCACCCTGTTCTTTTGCCTTCAGTCTTTCTTAATATCAGGGTCTTTTCCAATGAGTCGGCTCTTTGCATCAGGTGGCCAAAGTATTGGAGCTTCAACTTCAGCATCAGTCCTTCCAGTGAATATTCAGGGTTGATTTCCTTTAGGATTGACTGATTTGATCTCCTTGCAGTCCAAGGGACTCTCAAGAGTCTTCTCCAGGACCACAGTTTGAAGGCATCAATTCTTCAGTGCTCAGCCTTTTTATGGTCCAACTCTCACATCTGTACATGACTGCTAGAAAAACCATAGCTTTGACAATACGCCCTTTTGTCAGCAAAGTGATGCCTCTGCTTTTTAATATGCTGTCTAGGTTTATCTCAGCTTTTCTTCTGAAGAGTTGAAGTTGGCTTGAAATGATCTGCTAGATGAATGAAGGAAGACCCAAATGAAATGGAGTAACTGCTAAAGTTGAACTCTTAAGTTTACTAGCAGACCTTACTGGGTTTTAGCTGAAGCCCACTCCCCTTAACTCTTAACCCTGTTTTTTCCTTCTTTTTATACTATACTTGGGACCTAACATAGTCATGTAGCTGATAAGTTTTTCACGTTGAATTATAAAAGCTGGAATATGTAAAATTAATAAGAAAATGGCAAAATTAATGTCTGACTTATTTTTTCCTTTTTTTAGTGTGCAACTTGCTTTGGTGTTTGCTGTTTTATTGCCACAGATGACATTACTGTAAGTGAAGAGCCTTCTGAATCCAGTTATTTGCACATTTCTCATTTAAGATGGTAATCTTATTTCCTGCTCTTATGCATTAGGAGCTGTATTCAACTCTGCAGTGTTTGGAAAATATCTTCACCAAGTCCTATCTCAAAGAGAAAGACACTAATGTTATCTGTAGCACCCCTAATACAGCACTTCATATCAGCTCGCTTCTCGCGTGGACATTATTACTGACCATATGCCCAATCAATGAAGTGAAGAAAAAGCTTGAGGTGTATGTATTTTTTGTTCTTATTTTATAAAAACAACATTTGTTGATATAATTGGTTGTGTTCACATAGTAATGACTGGCTCTTCTCCAGGCATTTCCATAAGCTTCCAAGTCTCCTTTCTTCTGATGATGTAAACATGAGAATAGCTGCTGGTGAATCTTTGGCACTTCTGTTTGAATTGGCCAGAGGAATGGAGAGTGTAAGTATCTGATGGTAAAGATGTCACAAGAACCATTATTCTGTCATTACCTTCACAATTAAGAATTGGATGATAACTCAGGAGCATGGCCCGCTTGAGAACCTAATGATTGGTTGTCCTGCTTCTTGGCAGTGATGATGTAATACTTAATAAAAGCATAAACCAATACTGGTTGGTTGGTAGAGCAGTATTTGAGTGTAGTTCATTATACTTAATCATTGCTGCCTATAGAACTGAAGTTAAAAGTACATTCTTATTACTCATGAAGAGCTGTCATGTATAATCTTTTGGATCAGCTTGGATTTCTCAGACCTGACTCACATTAAGGTAATTCAGGCACTTACAATAAATGTTAGAAAAATGGATGAAATATGATGTCGATGTAGGTTTGGGATTAAGTTAGATGAGTTTAGTTACCATCATGTTTAACTTTCTAAGCCAAGTGTGTTATTTGTTTAGTCCTGTTCGACTCTTTGCAATCCTATGGAATGTAGTCTGCCAGGCTCCTCTGTCCATGGGATTCTCCAGGCAATGGTTGCCATTTCCTTCTCCAGGGGATCTTCCTTACCCAGGGATGGAATCTGGGTCTTTCGCACTGCAGGCAGATTCTTTTTCTGTGTGTGTGTGTAGTAAAGTTTTATTAAAGTATAAAGGAGATAGAGAAAACTTCTGACATAGGCATCAGAAGGGGGCAGAAAGAGGACCCCCCTGCTAGTCTTCAGCTGGATGTTATATGGTCACTAGCAGTCTGTTAATGAAAGAGAGGAATGTCTTAAAACTTAGAATGCCACCAGGCCCCGCATCCATAAAATGCATTTTGGGATAATCTTGGCACGAGATGGTTCATCATAGGCTATTAATGACTGACTTGAATCTTGTAGAAGGACAGATTACTATACAAATAGTTTCATTTACATTGATTAAGGGAACAATATCTGAGTATAACATACTGGTTTGTCAAGTAGGTTCTGAGCCATTAGGCAGAACCAACTTGAAGACAGTCTGGGGTAAATGCATAGCACATTAACATAGCTTAAGACAAACATTTCCATAAGAAAAATGCATTGGTTAGCTCAAGGTTTGAGAATAGTTAGCTTCTGGTGAAACCAGGTGTCATTTTGGCAACACGGTATTTTAAGCGAAACCTCCTTTTAAATTTGTATAGAGAAGGGAAAAAAATATCACTAGTTTGTTTCCTCCTGCCGCTTAAGAGAGATAAAAATGTCTGATGCATGCAGCCTATTTCCTCCATTTGGAGACCCCTAGCCTTCCTGCCTATTACCCTCTCATTCCCCCCTTTTCTTTTAGGAGAATTATGTTGCCTAGGGAAAAGGGGCGTCGTTCTCATTCCATAACTGCTTCCGAGCTGACAAGAGGCGTTGTCCCTAAATTGGTGAGGCAACATATTCTCCTAATCCTCATACTGAGGATTTCTGATCCAGGGGCCCCAAATAATAGCTGGAAGAAGCTGCAGCAGTAGCAGGAGTTTGAACAACCATTCGTAACTTAAAAGCTTTCGTGTGACTAGAAACAAATCCAGTTACACAGTTACAGATGCAGGGAGCAAACAGCAAAAACAAAAATACCAGAATTATTGTAATTAAGATAGAATCTGGGTCTTCTGCATTGCAGGCAGATTCTTCACTGTCTGAGCCACCAGCGAAGCCCTTTCTAAGCCAAAGACGAGAGTAAACGTGGCCCCTGAGCCGGGGACATGGGCTTTGTGGTTCGCTACTGCTGGTCACTCATGGTTGCTTTTTTTCTGTTCTTTTTTCTTAATAACCACAGTTTTGCTTTTGGGGGTATTTGAGTTTGTGGTAGGTGACCGAGAGATGATCCACCATCCTGGTGGTATTCCATGTTTAGCACTGAAAAGTCCTATGTCCTGAAGCCCTTTGTCTTAGGCTAGTTATATGGAACAGTTGGTCACCCTGGTTTGTGACCTCTATTGTGAATCTTGGGTTACTTCCTAGCTGCTTTTCAATTTAAGGAGAAAGATTATTTTCTGGAATGATGCTTTTCTGCAATTAAAGAAGTTAGTTAACAGTGGATAATTCTACAGTGGATAATTCTAAATAAGATTAATACATGTTCTGAGTTGCCTTGGTTTTTCACATTCCATTATTGGCCTGTGTTTGGCTGCCCGCCACCCACCTTCCTTATTTCGAAAGATAGCTGGTATGAATTAAAAGTAAGTTTTTCACTCTGTCAGTAGCTAATGAGTCTCCATATGTGAGAAATTGGACTCAAGTTTAGCAATCCGTTTAATTTTATTGAACTAGTTAATGGCACCTTAACCTCAAGGCACAGAAGCCAGGTGTCCTAGTTTTTAATCTTGTATTCCTCTACTGACTAGAAATGGTAATTTCTTTTTTTTTCCTTTGAAATGCATCCTAAAAGTGAGCTAATGATGCAATTTAAATTATATATGTTGAATTTGTTAAATTTGCATAAATGTAAGTAGTATTGCCACCTACATATCTACCTTCTTTGACTTAATAAATCATATGTGATAGTCAAGAGAAGTCACTCAAACATGTTTAGTTTGACCAAATCCTTGTCAAAGACAAAAATGAACTGTGTTATAAAGCAGAACGTAGGTGTTTGTTTGCTATTTTTGTTAAGTAAGTTTTGTATTTGTTTATTTTTAAAAATACTCATTGACTTATTTGGCTGCCTTGGGTCTTAGTTGTGGTTGGTAGGATCGTTGTTGCAGTGGGCCGGCTTCTCCAGTGGCAGGCGGGCTGCGGAGGGGGCAGGCTCAGTTGTGCACCAGCTAGTTGCCCTGCAGCATGTGGGCTCTTCACTGACAAGAGATTGAAGCCATCCCCCCTACATGGCAGGCGAATTCTTGCCCATGGGACCACCTTGGAAGTCCTATTCCTACCTTTAAAGTGGAAATGGTAATAGTTAATGCCTCACAAGTTGTTGGAACACGTGCCAAGTACAGTGTAAGTGGTAGCTATTCCTACACTGTTAGCTGAATTGCATATCACCTTCCCCTTGCTAGTAGTCTAGTAGTAGCCTTTTTAGAGCTCTCTAGTCAAACTTAAACTAAGAGAAGGACTATTTAGTGGATAAAATTATAGGTCTGAGGGCCATGTGATAAACTAGTTCAGGAAATTGTACCAAAATACAGTATTCTCAGACCGTCCCTAATTCTCCCTGTTCCATCTTCCACCTAAGCTGACAGGGGCAGTGCTTCAGGACAGAGATACAGTGGAAGTAAAATCTGAGGACTCAAAACACATTTCCCAGGCCTTAAATCACATGCTTCTCACTGCTTGATTTTCTTTATAGGATAACCGGATCATGTGAACATGTCTCCATACCCTGACAGAGACATTCTGCCTCAATTAGCAGGAGTGAAAAGAATAAAAGTTTCTGTAGTTGAATTGTCAGATAAAACCATTCTGGAAATAGTAGTCAACGCTTTGCAGTGAAGTGGGGAGGGATCAAACTCTGTTTTAATGTTTGGCTTCCCTATGGTTATTTCTTAACACTTAGTACAGCTTGTTTCATTTTATTTACAATCAGTGCTCCGGTGACTACTATATAGAAAATACTAGTTTACGGCATGATTTTTGTGACCATCAGCATCTCATCTTGTGTACTTGAACTCTTAAGTTTTCTATGGTTTCATTTCATTTTAATTCCACTCAACTTTTGAAACCATTTAACTTATTACAGCTGTTTGAAATAATCATCTTTAGACTTGTTTGAAACATTTAAATTATTATACTGAAACAGACTGTATCATAAAAAACTATAGCATAATGGATATTTATGTACTGTGTTTTATGTAATTTTAGAATATATAAATATGTTTTACTTAGGCCTTACAATAAACTTACGGGATGTGGGTGGTATTAACTATCCCCTTTTTATATCAGATTCCTCTGATTAAAAAAATGTCTGCTGGGAGATAAGATTCTTGAGAACCACTGGCAGTGATTCCCAGTTCTTAGAACAAATTATGGTAATGCATAGAGTCTTGTTAATTTTTGGTGTATTCTCCCATATATATGTTTAAATCTTCCATACATTTTTTTTTTGAGAATAATACAAAAGAACTAGTAGCCAGTGAAATAAGCAGGAAACTGTTAGTCCCTAAAATGTACTTGTTTCTACAAGTAAAACAATTCTTATTTTGTTATGATGGAATCAAATTTAGTGAAATATAAATACAGACATCAATATAACATTGAACTGTCTTAATAATACCTTTTCAGTTTTGGTAACCATTTTTCTAGATGAAAGTCTTATTAACAGGTGTCATTTCCAGCTAATTCAGCCATAGGAAGTTGAATTAGAGCATGAAAGAAAACATTTCATTAGAACAGTTAAGAATATACAATCTCTAAAATACTGACAATAAGAAAATACTTGTACTTAAAAGAATAGCTGTGTTGATTTCGAGCTTATTTTCCATGAGTATAATAATCTTCATTTTAGGCATTAACAGAAATTACATCTGTACCTTTTGAGATTGAACAATTAATAAATATATACAGTACAATGTCAAGAATGCCTGAAATAAGAGTTTCTTGTTTTAATAGAATAAGTTAAATGATTGTTACCACTAATGCAAAAAAAGGTTAATAACTAGAGCTGGAGATGTCTCATCTTCTGTCTGCTTTAGTTTTGGTCAACTAAATAATTCTGAATCATCGCTTAGTTTTTAATGTGTTATAAAATTTAATTAGAGAATAAAAACACCCAAAATAGACTTCTTAAAAGTATAGCCATTTAAACTGTAATAAAGAAGCCTATAGTCAACTTAAGGTCATAGCAAATAGTAATATATTTGTGGCTTCCCTCCAAAAGGAATTAAAATATATTTCTTTCTGAAATAATTTAATCACTTGAGTTGTGCACCTGATGTAAATACTTGGTTGCTTATTTGAAATGTGGCCAGTAAATTATAAATTAGGAGCTTTAAAAAGCTTTACTAATAGCTTGCCCTTTTGCTATAAAGAAATTTGGAGTTCTGGGAATATGCACCTTGGGGTCTGAGGAACCAGAGGGTAGAAACTATATTGGTTTATGTGTATGAACTTGGAAGTCCCAGTAACATCTTGAGTACAGTTGGAACACAGTAAGTGTTAGTTGAGTGTATCTGGATATACTTAGAAGAGGAATGTTCATTATTTGGTGGTAGTGTATCATCTTGGTAGACAGTATTTCTGGGTTAAATTTTTACATGTTAATAAGTGTTTTTCTGACCAGGACTTTTATTATGAAGACATGGAGTCTTTAACTCAGATGCTTAGGACTTTGGCTACAGATGGAAATAAGCACCGGGCCAAGGTGGACAAGAGAAAGCAGCGGTCAGTGTTCAGAGACATCCTGAGGGCGGTGGAGGTAGGCTTCTTAATGCTTTAATAGTTAATTAATTCTTCTGAAATTAGATTGTTTTAAGCCAGACTTGTCAATTGGGTGTTTCTGCTGATTGAACTTCACCTTTGAGCTAAATAATTTCCTCATTTTAAGACTGAGCAAGTTTTTAACAACAAAAATGAAAAAAATTTCTTTCTTTTTAAACAAAGGAAAAATTAATTCTGATGTTATAAAGGTTTATTTTTTTTTCAGAACTACTCTCTTCATTTTAATTTACATTAAAAAAAGTAAAAGCTAAGGTATAAATTAGTATACAGGTCCTCTGTGATCTAAATTTTTGGTTAATATTAATACTAATTGCTTTATTATAATATTTTATGTTTAATCAGGTAATATTTTATTTTCAGGATTTTTTTTAAAAACAAAATGAGAAAAAAAAAAAACAAAAAAAACCCCTGACTTGAACAGACCTACATACATACTAAGCATTGATCTTGTTGGTCTTAAAATTAGTGTGGTAAAATCCCAAAATAAGCAAGTGATTTTCTTGAGTGGAATTTAAAAACAAACTATTCCTGTATTTAGATCGTGTAGCCTCCAAAAGATAAAATAATGACATGTTGTAGATTTTCTGGATTATAGCTGATTTCTAATTTTCTGTCTTTGGATCCTCTCTGGGTAACAGATTTTAAGGTCGGTAGGATTCCACAGACTCTGTTAACAGGTTCCTCAGCCACAGCCAGTCATGGTGGAAAGTACTGAGTCTCTTGAGAAAGATACGTGTGAAATTCGACGTGAACCAGCTTTAACAGGCCTCTTGTCTCCTCCCTCTGCCCCCCACCCCCACCCCCTCTGCTATCAATAGAAATGAAAGCCGTGTGTTTGCCTCACAATTCTATCCTCTGGTGACCTCCCTCCCAGGCCTTACCCACCCTCTCCATCTCAGAATTTCTGTTCCTTCTTTGCCCTTTGATGGGTTCCCTGTTCCTCCAGCTCAGCTTCAGTCTACCGGCGTGTGTCAGAGCTTTCCTCTGTGATCTTGTCTCTTTTCTTATATTGAAACCCAGCTTTCTCTGAGGGACTCTGCTTCCTTGTTGGATCTTGTTCAGTTGCTGCAGAAGATGGTCTATTTGGGGTGTGGTGGTTTTGCCACACCATTTCTTTTCATCCAAAAACCCATTTTTGAAGTTCATGTATTAAATTGGTAAACATTTGATATGTTGGTGCTTTGACATACAGTTTTCTTGTTTCGGTCCCAGTATAGGTCTTAAGCAGTAGAATTATCTTTTTAAGGAAAAATGGAGACCAGAGGAATAGTCAAAAAAAAGCAAGTAGCAAAGCTGGCATCTGAATGCACTGTACTGTGCCCTCTTTGAGGACCAAACACTGTGGAGAGGTCCAGAGAGGGAACGCAAAGTGTCGATGAGATTTGTCACTTAGGAGGTCATTAGTGACCTTTGTAAGACCAGCTTCAGGAGAATGAAGGGAGAAGAACCAGGCTGAAGTGGATTGAAAAGTGAATGGGAGGTGAAAAAGTGGAGATAGTGTGTCCTGACTTAAAACACATGGCTGTGATGGGAAGAAGAGAGCTGATGACTGGATTGTGGGAGGGTTTGCTGTTTTAAATGCTAGAGACAGTTTATGGGAAAAGAAGTCAATGGAGAAAGGAGCCTGTGAAAACAAAGTGAAAGATTTGTGGTATGAGGCGTTGAAAGAATAATGATTAGCCCTGAACTGGGGAGGAGTGTCTGTCTGATTTAAGAGAGAGGAATAGGTAAGGATACACATGAGTTTATAGGGAGCTCTTTCCTGGTGTCTCTGTTTTCTGAAATAAATGATGAAATAATAGAATCCTACTGTTTTCTCGTTGTCGTTGTTTTGAGCTGTTGTAATAGCCCAAGCACTGTATGTGCTTCCCAAAACATGCTTATACCTGTAATAATTCTATGTGGTAGATGTATAGATGGCCTTTATAGGCAAGGGAACAGACCCAAACAGGTTAAATTACTTGCCAAAGTCACAAGCCCAGGGAGTGGCATATCCATGTGAATCTAGCATTCACATTCTTTTTCACATGAGATCCTGTGTCTGCTGAGAGAGGTGGGGACGGCGGTTGGATTGGTCCCGCCCAGTCAGGTCCTGTCGCTTTGTTCCTCCTGCCTCTGTGGAAATCGCTTCCTCCCTTCTGGGTTGTGTGTGCGTGCTCAAGTCCCTCAGTCCTGTCTGAGCCACGGACTGTAGCCCGCTAGATTCCTGTCCATAGAACTTCCCAGGCAAGGATGCTGGAGTGGGTTGCCGTTTCCTCCTCCAGGGGCTCTTCCCGACAGGGATGGAAACCGTGTCCCTTGAGTCTCCTGCCTTGGCAGGTGGATTCTCTACCGCTGCACCACGTGGGTTACTCTTCCTTATTCATGATTTTTTAAAATATACAGCAGCTATTTTGTTTTTGTCTCAAGTTCTGTCAGTATTCTGGATTTCTTCTCTGTTCGTTTGAAAACCCTACCCTGTATTTGTTCCTGTTTCCATTTCACTTCCACCACTACCTCTTCTCCCCCCATGGTTATACTTTAGAAGTTGTCTTCTGGCAAAATTATTCCATCTCTGAAATCGTAAATGTTCTCTCTCATTTTCTTAATAAGAATCTTCAAAGGCCCTCTGAACCCTCATGTTGCTCCTCCTTTTTGGTTGGTCTGTTAGTAACACCATTTGTCTTTACTTCCTTTCCTAGGTTTCTGCTTCCCTAATTTCACCACTGGCTTGTGGGGGCATCTTGTCTTTCTGACTTGTCCTATAACCGTCCCTACCCCCAGTCCTAAACCAGTACAAATATCTGACTTTTCCAGCAAGTTTGTTGAGTGCTTTTGTAATGAAAAAAACATTCACAACAAGGTAGTTTTGCTGTGTCTACTGCAGCTAGACAAATTCTGCACTCTTTAGTAGGATAGTACTTCTACTTTCCAGTCTATTCCTATTTCAAGGATGGAGGTATTGGTTTAAACCATACTATTCATTTCAACATGTATGTGTGTATTTAGAAATTGTGTTTATGTAGGATCTCTTTAGATCATTTTGGTTCCTCTTAAAATTTTTATTCTTCTATTGACCAGGAACGGGATTTTCCAACAGAAACTGTTAAATTTGGTCCTGAAAGGATGTATATTGATTGCTGGGTCAAAAAACATACGTATGATACCTTTAAGGAGATTCTCGGATCAGGAATGCAGTACCACTTGCAGGTGAGTGGGTGACATCCCTTCTGTATGTTTGCTTTTAAATTTGAGAGCAGTTTTGAATGTACCTCACTTCACTGCTTTTGAAATTAGTTTGAAAACAGACTGTTTTCAGTATATGTTATATTCAGTAGCAAATGTATTTTTGAAAGGTAAGGTGAATAAATATGAAACTGTCCTTTTTGTTTTTGTATAGTGTAAGCTTGGTGGAACATCTCTTTGACTGTTGGAGCACTATTGACATCTTTGTAGGAAAGCAACTAGTTTGACACAGCTTTCTTTTTTTTTTTTTTTTTAATTTTTTTTTTTTTTAAATTAGTTGGAGGCTAATTACTTCACAAATTCTGCTAGGTGACAGGCATTTAGCTATGTCTATGAACTATATTTAGTTCTCCATGGTGTTTCAGACAGCTCGACTAATAAGTATAGAAACTTTAGTTCATTTAGAGTATGGAGGGTTAAGATGAGAAATTTTTATCCATAATCCTATTAACATAGAAACTATTTTCATTTTTTGTTTCCCTTTGTTCTATGAAGTTTATATATTTAAGGATAAATATTGACAAAAGTGCTTTCATATCTGATGACTGAGCCTAAACTTAGTCAGTACCAGATTCATTTTACAGATGAGGAGAACAAATGTGCTTAGAGAGCTTATAACATTAAATAGTGATAAATATTATTTGGCTTCCCCAGTGGCTCAGCATTAAAGAATCTGTCTGCAATGCAGGAGACCTGCGTTCAGTCCCTGGGTGGGGAAGATCCCTTGGAGAAGGGAATGGCTACCTACTCCAGTATTCTTGCATGGAGAATTTCATAACATTTCAAAAATCCATATTATTTTTTTTACTAAGGTAAAATTCACGTAACATAAAGTGTACAGTTCAGTGGTATTTAATACACTTACAGTGTTGCACAACCATCACCACTATCTAGTTCCCAAACATTTTCATCACCTCAAAAAGGAAACTGAGGTTCATTAAATATTCACTCTCTGTTCACCTCTTCTTTCCTCCCAGCTGCTGATGAGCAGTCACTCATGTGCATTCTTTCTCTATGGATTTACCTGTTGTGGGTATTTCACAGAGAATCATATAATGTGACCTTTCGTGACTTTTTTTTTTCACTTAGCATATTGTTTGGAGAAGGAAATGGCAACCCACTCCAGTATTTTTGCCTGGAAAATCCCATAGACAGAGGAGCCTGGTAGGCTACAGTCCATGGGGTCGCAAAGAGTCGGACACGACTGAGCGACTTCACAACACAGCGTATTGTTGCCAAGTTTCATCCATGTTGCAGGGTGGTCAGTACTTCAGTCCTTTCTGTGGCCAAATAATCCTCCATTATATGGATACATCACATGTTTATCTCTGTTAGTTTGTGGACATTCGGCTTGTTGCCACTTTTGATCCTTTTAAATCGTGCTTTTTTTGAACATATATATACAAATTTTTATTAGAGCACCTGTTTTCAATTCTTTTAGGTATATACCTAGGAGTGGAGTTGCTCAGTCATGTGTAATTCTGTTGTTTAACTATTTAAGGAACCACCAAACTTTTCTACAGTGACTGCAGTATATTTTACCTTCCCACTAGCAATATGAGAGTTCAAATTTTGACATCCTTACCAATACTTTTTTTTTGTTTTTATTTTCCTTTTAAGTTATAGACATCCTAGTGGATGTGAATTATTTTATTGTATGTTTATAAAACCTTTATATTTAATTATTTTGATGGACATATACTTGATTGTTGGGCATTGTAAAATTTTCTAGTAAATACAGATATTTTTACATTTATTTCTCTTTTGGATTATTTCTTGGATAAAGTCCTTGCATGGGACTATAGGGCTTGATTATGATTTTTTGAGATGTATTGCCAAATTACCTTCCAAAATTATTCTACTACTTTTAATTATTTTCAGTGTTGAATGAATGCATGTAGCTATTAAACACATATTTGACAGCATTGGTTTTATTATTTAAAAAACTTTCTTGACATTTTATGTTTGATTATTTTTTTCATACAGAATCGTCATGAACTATCATGTGTTAATCTTCTCCCTCACTCTTTGTGTCTTTTAAACATTTAAAGTATATCTAAAGTCAAGATTAGTTCATTTCTTTCCTTTCAGTCCATGGCGACCCCATGGACTGTGGCCTGCCAGGCTCCGCTGTCCATGGGAGTTGCCCGGGCAAGAATACTGGAGTGAGATGCCATTCATTTCCTGCTCAGGAAATCATCCCAACCCAGGAACTAAATCCCGGTCTCCTGTTTGCAGGTGGATTCTGAGCCACCAGGGATGTATATACTTCAGTGCTTATAAGCAAGTTAGTTCCCTGCTCCTTTCTTTCCCATTTCTCAGGGTTTCATTTCAGCCTTTAGTTTTTTCCTAGCACTTTGGTTTCAGATTCTAAGTAAAATGCTTATACAGCTATTTCTTTATTTGATAGGTAAGGATTTCTGCCTGTTTACTTCTCCCCTCACCCCCCTTTTTTTCCCTAAATCAGCATCATTGTTTACATTATAGTAACATTATAATCTTTTTTCCTTACTTTATAAGAATATCTAAAACTTCATTGGCTCACACATATTTTCCTTTTTTTCCATTTCAGCATTTATATAATTCTGCAGCCTTCAAAGCTCGAACAAAAGCTCGAAGCAAATGTCGTGATAAGAGAGCAGATGTTGGAGAATTCTTCTAGATTTTTAGCATTTGAAGACCACTTTCTAATTTCCCTTTTTTTTTTTTTGTAATTTTTAATGTATTTAATCTCTAGAGACAGTTTTTATCTTGGTCAACAGATAGCTTTTGTAGTAGGTATTATATTATAATTTAATGTATATAATATTGCAGATGGTAAGTCCTGATTATTGAATATTCTTTGTATATATAATCAATAAACAGAAATAAGTTGTAATGTTTGGTCATTTTCTATTTATGAAAAAAGCAAACATAAGATATTTCACTTGATTTCATGATGAGAAAAACTGTTAGCCAAAGTTAAATTTCTTATGCTGTGATTGTCAGAAATACTGATTATAATGATATAGATAAACAAAGTTTTTAACTTAAAGATCTTACACAGATGAGTTCAGGATACAATTTTGGGAGCTAGATATGGAAAAGCTGCTGTTATTTTCAATTTTAAGTGGAACCTAATAATTTTGTCACTAGGATCAACAAAAGGAATTACACCATGCGACCATACAGCTGCACTTACAGGCCAATCAGTCCATCTGTTGTTCATGATGAATTAATATAAGCCAGAAAAGTTGCTAACCTTGACCACTGAGGGCAGTAACACTAATTTTATCTGCTGTGTAAGACCTTGTGCTCTTTATTTTGAAATAAAGATCTTTTCACACTAAAAGTGCTTCTTTTCTAATAGAAGAAACATTTATGAGTTTATGTATAGAGTTCAAAGTGATAAAGTGGGGTAGCGAGAGTAAAACAGAACTTCCTTTTGTATATTTGGAAACATGAAAATAAATGAAAAAAATGGTGCAGTATGTTGACATTTCAGCTACTTCTAAGACCATTGTTTCTTGGTTGCCCCATGAGATGCTTTTTTTTTTTTACTTTATGGGAAGTTGTAGGCATTTTGACAATGCACTAGGATTTTTTATTAAACTTGATGTTAAAAAGACATTGCATACGTAATACCTGCAGTTTAGAATTTACAGATTTCTTTATATTAATGCAGTAAACAGTAATAAGAGGGGTGGAAGAAGCATGCAAAATATATAGTTTCAGTAGTACTTCAGTGCTTATAAGCAAGTTAGTTCCCTGCTCCTTTCCCATTTCTCAGGGTTTCATTTCAGCCTTTAGTTTTTTTCCTAGCACTTTGGTTTCAGATAATAAGTAAAATGCTTATACAGCTATTTCTTTATTTGATAGGTAAGGATTTCTGCCTTTTTACCCCCCCCCCCCCACCGTTTTTTTCCTAAATCAGCATCATTGTTTACATTATAGTTACCATATTTTCTATTCATTTCTGAACCGGATGGTTTCCTGTGCTTACATTACCATTCTCGGGACATCTTGTCTTGGTTTTATATACACATCATTTAACTCTTCCAGAATAGTCCCAATAAGTCTGCAAAACTCCTTTAGTCTCTTTGTCACATATTCCCAAAAGAATATTAAATTCTTTGTTGTTTCAGTCTAGACTACCTTCTCTCATTTGAGTGTACAGCTGTTGCCTGAGACTCCATGCTGGGATCTGTTTTCCACTCAAGTTAGATTCCACATCTGGACCCCATGTCTTCGCTGTTAGATTAAAGTTAAGTCACTCAGTCGTGTCCAACTCTTTGCGATCCTGTGGACTGTAGCCCACCAGGCTCCTCCGTCCATGGGACTCTCCAGGCAAGAATACTGGAGTGGGTTGCCATTTCCTTCTCCAGGGGATCTTCCCAACCCAGGGATTGAACCTGGGTCTCCCGCATCACAGGTGGATGCTTTACCCTCTGAGCCATTACTTCCCTGTTAAAATGGAATGAGTGAAACTTCTGGGAATGAGTGTGTGGGAGGTCAATTATGTTGAAACTCTACGTATCTAACAGGTACTTTGGTTTGGTATATAAAATTCTAGGTAGAAAACCAAACTCGGAATTTTGAAGGCATTGCTCTACTCTAATTAAAAGTTGCAACAATGTCTGATGCAGTTTTACTTTGTGATTTGTTTTGTTCTTTGAATCTCTGACTCTGCTGTTTAAAAATGTGTGGTACTGTGTTTTGGTAGACTGGCGATCTGGGAAATACTAAGTTCTTGACACCACCCTCCCATCCTCCACATAGACACATGCACATTGTCTATGAGCTGGAACTCCCATGAAATGGTAGAGCTGCTGGGTTGAGCCTCTGACCTTACTTTTTCTTTTTTTGTAACAGCTTTCAAATCTTGCTGTTGCATTATATTTTTAGCTAACATGAGATTACCTGCCTGTATTTAGCTCTGTACTTCACTTGCCTTCAGTTCCTGAGCCTGCTTGAATTCTATAGGGTCCGTCACTTACTCAGCAGTGATGGTCCTGTGACTGCCTGCTAAGGTACGTACCAACCACCCTCTCCTTCCTATATTCAATACATTTGCTGAAATCTTGCTCAGGATTGTTACCTCCTATGTTTATTATTATGGCTCTGTAACTTTTATTCTGCCTTTTTTATTGGAATTTTGGGAGGAAGAAGTAGTAAGCAAGTATTAATTATATATTAAATTTATAGATGGGTGCCTTTTCATGAAATTGATGAGTAGTTGCTAGGCAGGATAACTGGGGATTCAATGTGAAAGTGCTTGAGTTTTCTTCTGAGCAGTAAAATGGTGTATGATAGACCAATTTATTCCTTGATACTGGTTAACCCTGCTGGCTTACAGGAATTTAAAATGGTCCCTGCCTAGTAACTTCTTTGAGATTTAGTCATTCATTTTGAATCAGTTGGCATCTTTGATTCAAGTCTTTGATAGCATATGCTTTAATTTCCTGGGAATGAGATATAATATTTGAAAGAAAAAAGTAAGAAATAGTTGAAAATGTCCCCAAATTGATCAGTTCTTATGAAAATACCTGTTTTCTTCTTGTGACTCAAAACCCTTCAGGATCTGACCTTTTACATACATAGCAGATAAAATGAAGTAGGTTGTCTTGCTTTGCTCTTAAGTGGTTCTCCAGAAGTCTACCTGGTCACACACCATAAAAAAAAACCTTATCCCCATCTCTGATGTAAAATATGGTTGAATCCAGACTTTGGTGTGAGGAACTGTTAATTTCCACTTTCCTTGTCCTTGAGGGCAAAAGGGGGTGACTAATACTTCAAGGGTTAGGTTTACAGGAGAGAGAAAAATACATAGTGTTCAAAATGAGTTTTTTTTTTTTCTTTAAAGAATAGATGGTTTAAAACAGATCAGGTAGTTGGGAGATTAAAGCTGAACATGATTAAAATAGCAAACATTCTTATTTTTTCAAGAAATTTTGCATAACTTTTAATGCATTATATGCTTCAGAGAAAACAGTTACTGGTTAACAGTCTTTCTTCATGAATCTTAGAAGATGACATTCCTTTTCGCCCAAAGTAGAGTGAGGTCCATACTAAACACAGATATAAAAGAAATTTTGTAGAGCATTTTCTAATTGATGTGCTTAAGGGTGAGTTAATGTCTGTCTCAGTTCAGTTAATTCAGTTGCTCAGTTGTGTCTGACTCTTTTCGACCCCATGGATTGCAGCACACAAAGCTTCCCTGTACATCACCAACTCCCGGAGCTTGCTCAGACTAATGTACATCAAGTCGGTGATGCCATCCAAACACCTCATCCTCTGTCTTCCCCTTCTCCTGCCTTCAGTCTTTCTCAGCATCATGGTCTTTTCTAATGAGTCAGTTCTTTGCATCAGGTGGCCCAAGTATTGGAGTTTCAGCTTCAGCGTCAGCCCTTCCAGTGAATATTCAGGACTGATTTTCTTTAGGATTGACTGGCTTAATCTTGCAGTCCAAGGGACTCAAGCGTCTTCAACACCACATGTTCAAAAGCATCAATTCTTTGGTGCTCAGCTTTCTTTATGGTTCAGCTCTCACATCCATACATGACTGCCGGAAAAACCATAGCTTTGATTAGACGGACCTTTGTCGGCAAGGTAATGTCTGTCTAGTCATGGCAACAGAGAGTAGGATTATAAAGGGTTACATATCCGTTTACCACTTAATCATTAGTATCCTGCCCGGACAGTCGGTCTGGGGCGGTGGGCCTGTGGGATTGTCTCACCACAGCTTCTTTGCTATACATGGGAGAGGGAACCACATCAGAAGCTGACATTCCTGAGAAAGGAGGATGCGTTAAAAACTCACAGAATAAAGCCTTTGAAAAGGAAAGTTGATGAGATGAAGTGCTTCCACCACCAGCAGTGGGGACAGTGGGCCAGTAGCCATGTAATCTCCCACGCACCATCCCCTTTTGTAGCTGCTGGAAGCTCTGGAGTCCTCTGACCTGCTGTCATCCTGGTTAGACTTGTCACAACCTTATTCTCTTCCTGTTGACTGTCGTCCTCTGATTGGTCTGGAGTCTTGTGTGGTTAGCTGTCAGTGGCAGCTCCAGCTTGCTTCCCCATATTTATCTATGGGAGCTCCCCGTGGCAGAATGCAGGAGCTGTGTCAGGTTCCATATCAGCCAAATAAGGACATAAATCTCCGTCCAGTAAGAACCTCATCAGTTACCAATTAAATCAAGGCATGGTAGTGTTTTGTTTTTTTTTTCTTTTTAAAGCATAGTTTCAGTAATATATTTATTTAAACCTTAGACATTATCAAAAAAAAATCAATATTTGGAATCTTAACTACTTGGCCAAATTAACACTGGATATAGACCAACAGTTTCACGCTGGGGTTTATGGGCCTTCTAGGAGCACCCGTGTGCTGAAGGAAGGCAAAGAGCTACAGAATTTCTAGAAAGTCTTATAGTTGCTTCTGAATATTTTTTCCCCCTGGCAACCTAGCAGTCAAAGCTCACGTTTTTGTAAGTAATTTGCATGCTGTTACTCTCAGACTGAATTCTGATTCTTGAGGTTGGGATGTCTTTTGTTGCATGTGCTGTGTGCTTTTCTAACTTGTGTCAGAAATGATTTAGACTTGATTTTAAAAATTACTTCCTGAATGTGAAGAGGCACTACCTCTGAAATGGAATTAAAGAACAAATTACCATGACTCACTCAATAAAGCTTCTATTAGATTTGAATTAAGCTCTATTATAACAATTCTGATTTTGTAGCAAGCAATACCCATGTGAGTTATTTCTGTGATATGATACCAAGCACCTTTGGGAAAAAGTAAAGAGCAAAGCAAACTTTATAGACAATTACATTGGTCAGAATGTTTATTAGTAGGCAGTCAAAGAATTCTTAAAAGACAAAAAGAACCAGCTGCTAGCATTGATCTAAATTGGAGAAAAATGAAATTACTTACATGTTTGGGCTAGAGGTATTAACATTAGAAAGGCTCTGGGAAACGGGTGAGGCTTTGCAGATTTGCACAGCGCAGTCAAGGAGGAGGGTCAAGTTAGAGAAGTGCAGAATTTAGTAACTCTCTGGCTTTTCCAGCCGTACTGGTTGTTCTCAGATGCCCCTCATATGGAGATGCCAAAGATAGCAACAACTGGGTGTCAAACAACTGTGGGTCCTGGTCTGAGGGCCATGTGATCTTGTATCCATTTACTCAGGGTTGTTTGCTGACTCTTAGCGGCCACAAACCACCCCCCAACTTGGTTTTCTCATTGACTGTTTATTTGCTATTTGCATGTTGCACTTAATTTAAAAATGTGTTGACATAGCATCTATAGCATTTACATTGTGACTTTACCCAAATGAAGATTATTCCTTTCAGAGCACTTTTCATTCTAAGTTGTTATCTTAGTGCTTTTGGATTTGATGTTGCATTGAATTACTTAAGTTGACAGCAAGGCTAGTGATTTGGAGATTTTATTAGCTGCATGGCTCTTAAGTCAGTTTTTGTGGCTATGATTTTCTAGCTAGTCTTCTACTTTGTAAATGCTGATTAAGCCTCAGTATGAGATTTAAGCAATGGCAGTTACATTCCTAAAGGGGAAGCTAAGGCTCAAGAATGGCAAGTCAGATCCAAAAATGAAGCACGTGTCAGCTACCAAGCCTAAAATAGAAGCTGTGTTTAAATGATGATCCTGTGATGTGACACAACCTTTATGCCTCATCCAATATTAGTGTTTGGGATAGCAAAGTGTAAAGTGATGATAAAATATAAAACCCTTTTAAAAGAGTAGTTTAGAAATCTGTAACCATGCATCAGTCAACACTTTTGGTTTTATCTATGAAAGAATAAGATTTGATTGATCTCTTAGGCCCTGCTGCTCTATATGCTCTTTTTTTTATTTCTGGTTAGAGTCATTCCCTTCAGAATGCTCCATGAAGTATATTTGGAATTCAGTATATCTGAAGTGCCTCAGTAGTATCTTATCTAAAATACTCAGGGAGTTAGTTGTTCTTGTTAATTAAAATTTCAGAATAACTGAAATGCCCTTTTAGTTTTAGACTTTTAAAAAAATTTTAACTAGTCCATAACTTTACAAGCCCACTGCTTTCCTTAGCTAGGGTTCTGATGGCATGTTTTTTTTTTTAACAAGTACTAATAGGTTTTTAGGTATTGCTAGGAAATTGAGGGGTTTTCATGTTTTTAGAATGCAGTTTAATCTGTTTATTAAATGATTGATTACCGTTTACCATTTCTGAGTTTGATTTCTCCTAACTCTAATCATATTTCTCTTTATTTGGTAGCTGGGTATTAAAGGAAATTTTTAAAATGTTAAGAGGAAGTCAGTGTTGCCATATATAGGCAGGCATGAAGCTTATTACATTACTTTTTACTAAAGTTCAGATAGATATGAGGATTTTTAACCTCAGTTTTATGTTAGTGTTCTTATTATTAACAGCTTCAAATTCTACTGGAAATAGTGAGATTTAAATCCTAGATAAAATATTTTAGGTGTTGGCTTCTAAACTTGGCACTGGACATTTGAAGAATAGAATGGGCACTTACCCTACAGAGTGTTCAGTCAGTTGAGGAAATCAAAGAAGTAAGCAAATAAATGTGATGAAATAGTACAGCTGTTACGATGGAAGAAAGTATAGCATCCAGCAAGGTCACAAAGGAAAGACAGGTTGGAGGTGAGGTTTGAGCTGAGTCTTCACAAAGGGTTAGGGAAGGTGATGGAGAAGAAAGGTCACACAAGGAACGGGCAGTGATCTCAGAAGCAAGAGGCCTGCTTCCAGCTCTGCACCTACCTGATGTATGATCTTGGGCATTTACCTTCTGAACTTCAGTTTCCTCATTTGTGGAATGAAAAGGGGCTTAAATGAGAGCATGTCCAAAATCCTTTCTCAATCAAAAAATCACACATCACTATTAGACTCATTTTATGAAACGAGATGACTGGGAAAGAGAAAGCTTTGATAGCAATTGGAATTTGTCTTCCTATAACCTTCTTTTCCTGTGATTAAAATGCCACAAGTTCTCTGTTGTGCTAGAGAGACAACTTAAAGAGAGAACTTTTCAATCTGTTCTGATTTTTTCAGCGTAGCTTGAACTTATGCTGTCATTAGAGAATATTACCTTAAATGTAAACCACAATTTCAGAATTAACTACGTAAGTGGCCAAAATCTAAAGGAGCTCGGGGGAGGAAACCTCAGAGGTCCTGAAGTTCAGCCTCCAACAGCTGAAACATTTCTCTCTGTATCATCTCGGTTTGCTAAGATTTTGTCTTGTGGTCTCAGAGCCAGTCTGTAATGACTAAAGGATATATTTAAGATATGAACTTCTAGCATATTGAGGGGGAATATAAGAAGTATAGTTTTGTATTATAAGCCTATTCTATTAGAATAGTTCACAATATTTTCTTCTTCTCTTAGAATCTTTATGACCACAGGCTTGCTTGGCATAATTTTATCCTTTTATGTGTTTAAACATAGTTATCTTGTGCAAAGGATTTGAGAAGTCTCACCAGAATATGAAATATTTAAAAATCAATTAAAAAATTAAAAAAAAGAGAGAGACCCAGGGCAAATATAGACAAAACTGAGAAATCTGAGCAGGAAGAAGGAGCATGTTCTGATAAGCAGGGTATTATAGCATTAAAATTGTGCCACGCACTTGACTCTGAGCTCCCTGGTAAGCAAAGCAAAAAGAAGAATTACAGTATCATCCCCCAAAGGAAAAGCTAACTTTTCTAGCCCTTCATCTGGCAGTCATATGTGTGGGTGGGTCTTTACGTGCCGGCCCAGCTTCCTGTGGACTGTGATGTGAAGGCCAGCTCCCCAGCCCAGCCTCTCTGGTTTAACAGCAGTGTTTTCTTCCAGGGACAATGAAACGTTCTTCCCAGGACAGCAGCTCTCGCAACATTCCTGAAGATAGAAAGCTTTATGTTGTGGATTCCATAAACGATCTGAACAAACTAAACCTCTGTCCTGCCGGATCACAGCAGCTGTTCCGTACGTGTGCCCTCCCAGGCTTGGCAGCCAGTCCTGGCTTCTAGGTCACCTAAAAATAGCCAGTGCTGAGCTGGGCCTGTGGGTGTGGTGGGGGTGGGGTGGGCATTACAGTTGCTGTTTAGTATTAGGCAATGTTTGCTTTTGCTCTCTGAATACTTGCCAGGCTATGGGCTTTCCTGGCTCTTAAGCAGGATTCAAACTCTTATCTTCAAAAGTTCTGAGAAGTTTCCTGTGGAGTTTCTCTCCCTGGAAAGGAGTAGAGGCTGCAAGATGGCCTCCCAGAGGCTAATTCATACCTCTTGGCTGCTTCTGTGCCTTCTGGTGACCACAGCCAGGTTACTGAGTGTGACCGCTTTCCTAGACAGGTCTGACTTCATAGCAGATTGTTGAGAAAATGTTCCACACATTTATCTAGTATAACAAAGATCATTCATGTTCTGTTGGGCAGAAAAGTCATCTTCATCTTTTTAAATTTACAAATCTCCTCAATGAACACATTAGAAAGAAGAGGGGGAAAACAAAAATATGCTAAATACTAAATGCTACTTGTGTATCTTGTCCCCTAAATATTATAAATGAGTTCTATCAGGTTATTTGAGCCCCATCTTTTCTAGTTTAAATGCTGACCTTCCAACTCAGGGGATAAATGTCCACTTGATGTTTCACATGTACTCGAAACTCATACAGTCCCAAATTTATGTCTATTATTTCTCTTCTGTATCCTTTTTGAATGCTTGTTTTTCTCTTTCATTCATTCAGAATTTCACCGGTTTTTACTACAGTTGGTCTTAATAAAGGTTGGTGTTTGAGTGCCAGCTTATGCCTTGGCTGTGATTAGGAAGGGAAGGACGTGGAGGGTGTGAGGAGGATATCTTTACAAAGCATGGGACCTCTGCCCCCCTCTCTCCGTAATCAAGCAGTAGAGGGTGTGGGACTGATACATAGTAGGAGAAAATACAGAAGGTAATTCAAGGATCTCCATGATCCCAAGTTTCTATATTTATTTTTCAATTTAATTTGGGTGTTATTAAGCAAATAGGCCTTACAAAGCAGCGACCAAATGCAGACAGTTCATGGTTTGGGTGAGCCAAGCATAGTTGCATTCTCAGTTCAACAGCAAAGCATTTAAGAGAATCTTGCTTTCAGAGCATGTCCGTCCTGAAAACAACTTTAAGAAACCAAGTACATCAGGCTCATTTTGATGTTGTTGTGTAAAGAGATGTAGGAATAGCTGGTTATTTTTATAGGAAATAAAGTTTTCTGGGAGATATCTCAGAATGCTCAGACTTTCACCCAGAGTATGTGGTCCACAGCCAGCTGTGTTGTATTCTTGGGTCGCTTTGGGGAAAAGGGCAATAGAGTCTCTGTCACTCCAAATCCTTAACTTCTTTACACCACCCCACCCCCACCCCGTGCAAAAGAAAGATCCATGTCTGGCTACACCAGTGTTAACATGATCATCAAAGAATTTTCCAAACAGGGGTTACAGAGACAGCTTGACCAGGCTTGTTGTTTGAATATACTAATATAAAAGAAGGTGAAAATTTCTCAAAGAGCACTAGTGCAAAGACATTTCTAAAGCATACATCTCTTTTCAGAGTGATCAGAGGGAAAACGGGTGTATCCCTTACTCACATCTTTTTTTTTTCCCTTTTTTAAATTGTATTGGAGTATAGTTGATTTACAATGCTGTATCATCTTACGTCTCTAACTCTGGGGGACTGTTCAGTTCCCTGATAGCCTGTATGCTGAGGAGTCCTTTTTGTTGTTGTTGTTGTCATTTGTTTCACATCAGCTCTAGAGGAGAAACTCCAGGACGTCAGCACTGATTCAGGAAATGGAAGCCACAGTCTGTTTTTGGTGGGGCTGATCATCGTGCTGATTATCAGCCTGGCACTGGTTTCCTTTGTGATATTTCTGATAGGTAGGTACCATTGACACTCTTTTCATCACTGCTTTGCCCTTACTTGACAGCTGGTTGTTTAGCTTTGCTTCCGTAAGGAGGCAGTGCTTCCTGGCCCCCAGTACTGCCACTGAAGGATGAGATGGCAAGAATGCCCAGGGCACCCTGCTGCTCTGGGTGGGTTACTGGGGCACACAGAAACCCTCGATGCCAGAAGTTCACAGACTTGGATATTGTTTCTGTACCACTTTAATTTCTCACCCAGAGTCCCTCGCTGCTAATGGTAGGCAGCTTATCCTAGTTAATTCTGGGTTTCTTAATCCAACACACAGTTTCTCCATGAATTCGGCCTGTAACTTTGAATCACCCTCCCAGTTTTCCTCACGTCCCTGAAACTGGTTAGAAGCACCAGCTGGGCTTTGCAAGGGCCCAGAGGCAGGGCTGGGATGCGAGGCGGTCGCTTGTCTATTGCATGACCCTGTCTGGGCTGGTGTCCCACCTGCCCTCGTCCCGGGCCCCGCACGTCCGCCCTTGAGCGGTGGCCCACGCTTTCCCACGCGGCTCCTCAGCCAGAAGCTCCCCGGAGCCTCAGTGCCACCCTTCTCCGCCTCAGGCTGGGGCGGGGTGCTGTCCACTCAATGCCGTGCTCTCCTTGTGCGTGTTGCCCCTTCAGGGGAGCCCCCGTGTTCGCTCTGAGCAGTCCCTGTAGACCACCATCTGCAGTCACTCCAGTTCTCTCCCACACCCGCCAAGAGCCTGAGAAGAGGGAGTCATCCTTGGTACCCGTTTGCCTGCATCCACCACGTCATTTCTTCTGCCCTGCAGGCCTGGTAGCCTTCACAAAGCCCAAATGAGAAGTGGATTCCATGTGTTTGAAATGCCTCTAATTCAAGTTCACTCAGGATTAGTGGAGGTAGCAGTGGTGGTGATGCGAGGTGGGCAGAGGGCATGACTCTCACAGCTTCTAACCTTTTCCCTTTTCCTCCCCAAAACTTCATCTCCCATCCAGCTTAAAGCTCTATCTCTGGTCTAGGTTTCAGAGCTGGCGTGAAGGGGTGATGTAATTTAATTGCTCCTCTGTCACCCTGCTAATGCCCTTTTGCACTTAGAAGCTACAGTGTGAACTCTCCTGACAGTAACGGTGCCCGTGGATCTGATTATTCTATGGAGGAGGGTTGGCCCTGAAAGAGGGCGTGGATTACTCTTCAGAAATGTTATACCACAAAAGTGGATGCTGCAAATATCATCCTGCCTCACTGTCTGGGTAAATGACTGAGTTAAACTATTGGGAAATTTTAGGTTTGTCATCTCTACAGGGAAGCAGCCCAGAGGAACTGCTTTCTTTTGTGGGAAAAGACTAAGGGTAATGATAATTAAAAATATGATGTATTGGGTTCTCACCCTCTTCCAGGCACCATGGTAAACATTCATGTCTGCTCACTACCTCATAACAATTCTATTGTGTGGGTCTTGTTGTTATTCTGGTTTTATCAATACTGAAACTAAAGCTTAGAGAGATTAATTACTGTGCTGAAGGTCCACAGACAAGGGTGCCTAATCAGGGCTCAGAGACATCCCTGCCTGACATCAAATACCATGTTCTTTATTACCATTTTATACCCTCTTTTATGAATAGGATTTATTTTATATTTGCTTCTAGGGTTTTATATTGAGGGCAAAGTCACATCAAGAAACAGAAGATGTGAATAAAGAAGAATGTCTTTTTATTGGACAATTACTCTGTGCCAGATGCATTAAATTCATTATCTTAAATCTTTACCCTTCAGGGTAGTGTCTAATATTTCTATCTTACTGATGAAAGGTGAAAGCCCAGAGAGTTTAACTCTCCCTGTTTATTTAGCTAATCCGAGGCAGGACTAGTATTCATACTCTGGTCCATCTGCCTCCAGAACTCCTGGCACTCCACTGCCTTTTGCAGTAATAATAAGAGGCTTCCGGTGATTTGCAGATAAACTTTATCCCAACCTAAGACCAGAGTTGGCATGTGCTTGCATGCTTTAGTCACTCAGTTGTGTCTGAATCTTTGCGACCCCATGGACTGTAGCCTGCCAGGCTCCTCTGTCGATGGGGATTCTCCAGGCAAGAACACTGGAGTGGGTTACCATGCCCTCCTCCAGGGGATCTTCCCAACCCAGAGATCAAACCCAGGTCCCCCACATTGCAGGTGGATTCTTTACCATCTGAGCCAACAGGGATGCCCCGTTGGCACAGGCCTCTGTAAGTGAACTTGGCCCGTGCTCATCTTTGAAGAGGCAACCTTTCTGTTCTCAGTGGGATTTGGTGCAGATTTGTATCATTTTAACTGAAGTGTAAGAATTTATATCTGGCATTTTTATGCAAGAGAAATAGGCTATTTTACACTGATTACATTGATTAAACTATTGGACCTTGTGTTTTTGCCACAATCGCTGTTCTGAAGAGGAATACTGGTCAGCAAGGGTAGATTACCCAGGATGCTTACCTGCCTCTGTAGGTTTACAGGGGCCAAGCACTGTTAGATACTAGGTGTGTGGGACGTGATTAAGCATTGCCTTCATTTAAGAAAGGGTTCCATGGTCTAGTGAGTTTGAGAATTGCTAGGTTGGTACTACTCAAGGTATTTTATTTTACTTTTTGTGAATTTCCAAAGTGCAAGTCAGTATGTTATTTTTCTCTAATGTTTTTGCATATAGAATCCTTTTTCTCTTTTGGAATTTAATTTGGAGGTAATATATTGTGGAACAGACTTAGTCCAACATGCCTGCTACTTCCTTTTGTGTCTGACTCATGTAGAAGGTTCCAGAGAGAGAAAACGATGTCACATGCTATGGATTTACTTGTTTCACACTTCTCTCCAGCAGCGAGTGGTGTTTCTTCTGTCTGCTCTGCACCAACACACTCATGTTCTAGATCACAGTTCATCCAAACATAATTTTCAGACACAAAGGGGAGGCAGCTTCTGGGCAGCAGTTTGTCCCGAGGCCAGAAGGTGAAGTTCTGACACCTTCCCACATTAGTTTTTGGGTCACTCAGTGGTATGTCACCACCTTCATTAGTTCCTGAAAGCTATCTTGGAAAACACTTGCCTGAAATGGAAATGATACGGAGTCCACGTATTAAATACTGATTTTGTGCTGCCTTTCTTGGAAATTTTAACTGCCAAGTAGGCCTCAGAGTGTTCCACTTCCTGGCTTACTCAATTCCCAGGGGTTCTATTTATTTTGTAAATATGGTCTCTCTGCTCTCAGAATGGCTGGGGAGAATTATTATTATACATTCATTATGGACTAGTAATTTAGAACCAGGAGACCTATGGGTTGGAACCCAAAATATCTCACCTCCCAGATGATGAGTGAAAAGCCTTTGCTGAGAACGGGTCTCAGAATGAGATAACATAACAATCCCTTCTCCGGGGATAATCAGACACTGGCAGTTTTCCTGTGGTTGTTCACGCAGTGTCTTTCTCAGCCAAAATCTGAGCAGAGCTGCCAAAGGTAGTCAAGTCTGGCACAAAAGGATTGTAAAAATAATTCACTTCATAGGAAACTTCAGCAGTTTCTCTCCTGGGCCTCTGGGCTGCACGGGCTATTGGAGCAGAGGATTTGCCGAGAGGGCATCTCAGCTTCCAGCTGAGCACCCTCATGGGCTCTGATGAGTCACGATGGAACACTCTGGAAACCAGCATAACGCTGTCTATTTTTCACTTTTAAGTTCAGACCGGCAACAAGATGGAAGATGTGTCAAGACGACTAGCAGCTGAAGGAAAGGACATAGATGATCTTAAGAAAATCAACAGCATCATCGTAAAGCGACTCAACCAGCTGGACTCAGAACAGAACTAAAGAAATGAATCGTCCAAGAGCAACTGCTAACACCTGAGCCTCTCACGGTCCAGGGAGGGTGTAGGGTTTAAGATCCACCAAGGGCATTTCTGTGGGTCTTGAAAGGCTGAGTTTCTATTACAGGGATGGGAGCAACTCCGAGGCAAGAGGGGCTGGGGGCAGCCCCAGAAAGGGGCTCGTTTTGTGGCAGTCCTTCAGCTTTCGCAGGATCAAGGGTGGCAGGCACGGAGGAGAAACAACAGTAAACGCGAAAGGGAATTTGGCTCTGCCTGTCAGCTTCTTCTACCAAAGGAGATTTGTCACCAAAATAAGGTCACGGTGGCCAGTAAAGTTCATGGCCCCTCATGTATCTTTATGAACTTCCAGGAAAGCCTAAGGGATGTGTTAAATTGTTTGTATTCAAAGAAATCAGGTGATAATTCTTTTCAATAAAACAGATTCTGCTCAGGTGATTATACTTGACTCTTACTTCTTCAGGGATGGGGGATGGATCAACTCAGAGCTATTTACCTACAGGTATTTGCTGATAGTTGTTAAGTGCATATAGTAGGTGGGTACCACAAGAGAGAGCCTGAGTTATTCAAATAATGTTTATTGAGCTGTTGCTTTTTGCAAACCACTGTATTCTACAGAAGCTTACATTCAAGTGGGGAACAAAGGAGATATGTAGTTATATATAGATATATAAGCTTTTTGACTTTCTGACAGGAAAAAAAATCCTTCAGTACCTGCTGATTAATTGTGCAGAAATCTGATAGTTTACAGTTTATAGGTTTATTAAATTACAGTGAGAAATTGTATATTTGGAATATTTGGAACCTGCCTTGTTTCAGCAAAAAAGGTAAGGCACAGAGTTTGTGAAATTAGATATGTTGCAATATAAATGAGTTTAAAAGCATGAATCTTAGAAAGTGTTTACTATAAATATATTGTGTAATTCTGTTGTGTGAAATATATTATTGTTCTATCATCTTGGGTTCATTAAAAACATTTGAGTTTATTCTAAAGTTATATACATACATAAAAACAGATTTTGTCACAGTAAATAATTAATGAAATAAACACAAGATGTTTCACCTATTCATTTTTACACTCAACCCTTTTTAAAGTTAATTTTTTAATGTATTTATTTATTTTAATTAATTTATTTTTTATTGAAGGATAATTGCTTTACAATATTGTATTGGTTTCTGCCATACATCAACATGAATTAGCCATAGGTATATGTATGTCTCCTTCCTCTTGAATCTCTCTCCCACTCAAAAACATTTGTACTGCATAGTTATTTTTTTAAAATTGATGTCATGCAGGGTATTTTAAAACTGAAATTTGTATTTATTGGAAAATTATTATTGACCTGTTGATGTAGTATGGCAAAATTATTTGTCAAGATTTGTTGTAACATTGTGTCAGAGACCACAGATGAGCTGATGCAACAACTCTTTAAAAATAGCCATTTTTCTTTGAAGTCATTTGTTCTTGTAATGCTTTTTCCCCCCTTTCTACCTACAAAGTGGATATTTTGTGCTCAGTAATAAGTGATCTTTATTGTAAGAAATACATGATTTTTATAATGTGAAGTAGTATAGTGCCTGATGCATCATTTCATCCATCTTTTTGGATCCATCCTGTTGGATCTGCACTGTCCTGCCTGTATGGTATCTATGGAGCCATAGTCATCCACACAGCCTGGGGAACTCCAGGCACCCTGGCTCCAGGTATTTGGATTCACAGACTCACAACTTCTATTGATGGTGTTTTATGTTTTAAAATATTGCTGGCTACATGTAGTCTCCTTTTTTGCAACACAAGGATTTAAATTTGCTATTAAAGCTATTATTGGAGCAACTGGAATAATCTGAATAGGGTCTGTAGGCTAGATAATGGTATTATGTCAGTGTTAATTCCCTGATTTAATAATCATATCATGGTTATATGAGAATCTTTGTTTTTAGGAAACACACATGTATGCATTTAAGGATAAAGTGACATCATGTCTTCAATTCCAAAATGGTTCAGAAAATAAAAGTTTGTGTTTGTGTGTGTGTGTATGTATGTTTAAAGGAACTATGGTAAGTGTTAACATTTGGAAAATTTTTATTTAATAAAATCATGCAGCAACCTAGATGTTCATTGACAGATGAATGGGTAAAGAGGTCTTGTCACATATATATATAATGGAATATTGCTTAGCCATAAAAAGGAATGAATTTGCATCAGTTCCAGTGAGGTGGATAAAACTAGAACTTGTTATACAGAGTGAAGTAAGTCAGAAAGAGAAAAACAGATATCATGTAATAATGCACATATATGGAATATAGAAAAAATGGTACGATGAACCTACTTGTAGGTCAGCAATAGAGACACAAGGGCTTCCTGGTGGCTCAGATGGGAAAGAATCTGCCTGCAATGCAGGACATTGGAGTTCAATCCCTGGGTCGGGAAGACCCCCTGGAGAAGGGAATGGCAACCCACTCCAGTATTCTTGCCTGGAAAATTCCATGGACAGAGGAGCCTTGCAGGTTGTAGTCCAAGGGGTTGCAAAGAGTCAGAGATGACTGAGCGACTAACACTTCCAATAGAGACACAAACATAGAGAACAGACTTGGGGACATAGTGGGGGAAGGAGCAGGTGGGGTGAATTGAGAGAGCAGCACTGAAACATATACCTTACCATATGTGAAATAGATAGCCAGTGGGAATTTGCTGTATGAAGCAGGAAGCTCAACCAGGTGCTCTGGGACAACCCAGAGGGGTAGGACGGGGTGGGAGGTGGGAGGGAGGTTCTAGAGGGAGGAAACGTATGTGCACCTACGGCTGATTCATGTTCATGTATGGCAGGAACCAACACAACATTGTAAACAATTATCCTCCAAATAAAAATAAATTTTTAAAAAATCATGCATTTTTTTCCTTTAAAAAATAGCTTTGACATATAATTGACGTAGATTTATTTGTATTTAAGGTCTGTAGTGATGTTTTGATCTATGCATACATTGCTAAATGGTCACATAATTAAGCTAATTGATATATTCATCACCTTCATAGTTGCTACTTGTATGAATGTGTGTGCTGTGTATGGAAAGATCTAAGATCTATACTCCTAGAAAATTTCAAGTATACAATACAGTACTGCTAAACTGTTGTCACTATACCGGATGTTAGGTCTTGAGAACTTGTTCATCTTGCATAACAACTTTCATAGCTTTTGGTTACAAGTAGTCTCTTGGCAGTCAGATATGGTGGTTGAGACACAGGCTGGGGAACCCAACTGTCTGATTTGTCCTGGTGCTACCATTTACTGTGGCTTTGGGGAAACTAACCTCTTTCCTCTTTTATCAGTAAAGTTGGATAATTATAAAATCTACTGTTACTATTATGAGTCTTAAAAGAAATGATGAATGGCTTACAACAGTGTCAGAAACAAAGTACTCAATAAATGCTAGTTTTTGTTGTAATTATTATTGTTAATGTTAAAAGTAGTAGATGTATAAGAGAAATAACTAAATTTAACATCTCCTGTTGGGGCCTTAGGGCTAAATGTTTTTCTGCTGTGCATCCTGATCTGATCTGATCAGGGATAGTGGAGATAGATAGCTTTTTGGAAAACAACTTAAGCTAATTTACAAGTTCTTGTTGTTCAGTCGCTAAGTCATGTCCAACTTTTTGTGATCCAATGGACTGTAGCATGCCAGGCTCCCCTATCCTTACTGTGTCTAGGAGTTTGCTCAGATTTGTGTCCATTTAGTCAGTGATGCCAGGCAACCATCTCATCCTCTTCTCCTCCTGCCCTCAATCTCTCCCAGCAAGAGGGTCTTTTCCAATGAGTAGGCTCTTTGCATCAGGTTGTCAAAGTATTGGAGCTTCAGCATCAGTCCTTCCAATGAATATTCAGGGTTGATTTCCTTTAGGATTGACTGGTTTCATCTCCTTGCAGTCACAGGGACACTCTAAAGTCTTCTGCAGCTCCACAGTTCCAAACCCTCAATTCTTTGGCACTCAGCCTTCTTTTCCCAAGCCTTCAGTTTACAAGAGGTGATCAATATAAGCCAGAGGATTGGTTGTTTCCTAAACGATCTAGTCTGAAGAACGGAAGGATCTGCATTTGCCTCCCTGAGTGGAGCCAGGAGTTGTCTGTCCTGGATTAATGCCTTGCCCACGAGTGGGCAGTGTCAGGGGAGAGCCAGGACAGGAAAGGAAGGCAAAGGAGTAGAAAAATAAATAGAAGGGACTGTTTGACTGACTCATGTCCTGATAGGGAAAGAGAAGGAAAGTTTTTATTTTTTTGGACTTTGTTTATGTTCACAAGAGGCTCAGAAAGAGATGATTTTTTTTTTTTTTTCTGGCAGTGGGCTTTGTCTGCATGCCCTTCCTGGTGTTGCTGTGGTGGATGGATTACCATGTCTTCTGACCCCAGGGCCAATGCACTGCCTCATCCATCGTGAGGCCCCTGGGGAGCCTTGCTGAAGCTCCTCAGATGGTTCTGATTGGCAACCACCTGTGGGTGAGCCAGGCCCAGCCCCACACACAACACCATGCTGTGACAGCTGGAGACCACTGGGGTGTGGAACAGCCTGGAAGGAGGAGGTCCCAGCTTCGCAGTGTGGATGCCGGCCGCAACTTAGGGAACATGGGCCCTTCTCTCTCCTGGAAAGACCAGGGTCATCTGACAGAACTCCCCAGTGGACTCCAGTCCCAAAGCAAGGCTCTTGGGTAAGAACAAGAAAACCAGCAGGGTTAAAATAACACAAAACAATAGCTTTTTTTCTTTTAACATCAGTCTGTGATAGAAAAGAGAACAATTTTGGTGTGTGTGACATTTGGACTGAGGCGTCTTGGGGAATTATACTGCACAAACGATTGTATTATAACCCATTTTTATGTCTTAGAATTTTAATGGAAACAAGATCTCTCTGAGTTATGGTATATAAAATAATTTTATTCCTGCTTAAAATAATGACCCCATTTAAATTCAGTAGAGGATGAGCAAAAGAAACAGACCACCAGAAAAGATTGGTAATCTATCTCCTCTGTGAATGAATTTGCCTGGAAGAAGCTGTGAAAAGGAGAAAGAATTCTAGGACTACGAACTATCTTTCTACAGAGTCAGGAAATATATTTTCTTTTAAAGAGGAAATTAAAAATATTCTTATTGGAATCCATATGTCTGCTTATTCTCATTTGGTGAAGATAAAAACTTCTCAGTAAATTTTTTTTTATAGGGGAAACCTTACTGAAATATAATTTTGCTTTGCAGGAAGATGAAAGGATTAAAAAAAAAAACAGTGAAAAGCAACTCAGAACAAACTTAATTCCCTGTAATGAGCAAGCGTTGGGTATATACGTGGTGCCCACCTGTGTGGGCTGACACTGCAGAGGTGTCTAGGGCGTCATCCTGGCTCCAAATGGGTTTCTGATCTGGTTGTGCAAATCAAATGTGTAAGAAACCAGT